CGGCGACCTGGACGGTTATGCAGCCACCCTCTCCCTAGTGCCACAGCTCAAGCTGGGACTGGTAGTCCTGATGGCAGGGGTACGGCCGGCAAACCAGGACCTTGTGAGCCAGGCCTTCGGCTATCTCATCCCTGCAGTGGAGAGTGCTTTCAGGGATGCTCATCGAACTCTCAGACCGCCTCCCGACCCAACTCCATATATTGGTTTTTTCACTTATAGGAATATGACTTTCTATGAGATTAAGGTGGACTCAGATGGAGTGCTGATCATGCAGCAGTTTGGACCACAGGTGGACACAACTGTATTGTCCAAGTACCGATCTATTCGACTGGATTACCTGCAGGATAGGGTGTTCAGGGTGGTGTTTGAGAGCCCATACCCTTGCAAGCTGAAAGTTAACAGTGCCTCAGTCTCCCTGGAGGCACAGGACAGACAGCTCTTCAACTTTTACCTCTTAAACAAGAAAGGTGTGTCACCAGGGTTTGATTCACCGGGACTCAACACTTACAGGGTGACAAGGATAGCTGGTAGACCATACTTTAATTCATAATGACAGGAACACAGGAATTCAGCTCAGCACAAGTTTGTCACTGTAATTGGAGAGTTGCGTCCAGGACAGATGCAGTGGGAAACTTGATATTGCAAACATTTGCTCAGTGGTGATGTGTGGTCAGTGTCATAGGATGATCTCATATTAAAGTTACTGTGATTAATCTGAACTCGCATTTTAATATAATATCCTTCTGCTCATTATACCAATTTTATCATTCAGGTTTGTCTCCAAAGCAGTTATTCTTCTGCTAAGTAACTACTACAAGCTTTTCAGAACTGACACACTGCTGTATAATCTTTGGTTAATGGACAATGTGGCAGTATTCCTCTTCTATCTCTAAGTGCCTACAGTGTGACCTAGAAAGAGTAAAAGCACTGTTTATTTAAATGTCAAGTGGTTAGATTCAAATACACTGTAAACACATGTAAACAACAAAGCCAAGTTACAAATAAATATGTTAAACAAAAATCATATTGTACATCATTGTGTATTTTGTTCCATGTAGTGTATTCTGCTCCATGAACTATAGAAGAACCCCAGACAAGAGCTATGACCTATACATGAACTCTTGATAGAGAGCCACAGCCATGCCTCCCTTAAAAGTGCTGTATAGGCATGGAGGAGGCTGTGTAGACTTAGTCAGCATTTGTGACCCAATTAGCAGGACGATGTTTCTGTGTTTGATGTATGTATGTATCACTCTTGACATATTTTGGTTAAGTAAAGTAAATGAATATACATGGTTTTATTTTTGGAGAGTTTTACCAAACCAATAAACCGTTATATGAACATCAAAGGCTCCTCGAGGTGATAGGCAATGGCTCCATGAAATCCCCATGGTGAATACTGCTTTGATATGGACAGCGATTAATGACATCTAAGTTTCAACCTTGCCAGGAGGGGGTAATCAACAGGGTATATAAGGTGAAGCGAGTTTCACTCTAATCCAGTATCTGTGTTCATGAACCCAGCCTCTGTTTTACTGTATTTGCTTGCATATGACAGTAAATTCTCAAGGATTGCTCTTGACTCTCTCTGCTGTTGTTTTTTCTTCAGTTTTTGATTATTTGCTTAAGTGTTAGACATTTTTTTTGAAAGTAGTTAAAAATTTAAGTGTTGAGGTGACTTAGAAGATTCACTGACCCATCTGAAGAGGATGCTTGATATTAAATTGGCAAGCCAGCCAGGAGAGGCAAGGTGACACCTGGAGACCCGGGCAGGTTAAAGCACAGGGCACAATCTAATAAGGTCAGCAGATTTTAAAATTTAAAAAAATTCTGCATACATGTGCACTTTCTGGCTGCAGATCATAAGTGCACAGGCCAAAGGTGATATCTAGCCTCTCCTCAAAAGAATCTAAGATATTATCAGAATTTTAGAATTAATATCACAGCAGAAGAGAGTCTGAGGAATCCTTGAATGTTGTGTCTTGCATGTCGCATGTTGTGTCTGGTATATTTGTTATGTGATTAACTGTTTGTGTGCCGGCTGTGCACTGAGATCAAGACCAAGTGTGGACACAACTAAATTAAGTGAAATTGTTTGGGCATAACTAAATTAATCGAAACAGCTGAGACTTTTGAAAAGTAGTGGTGGCTTGTCCAGCTCTGAAGAACGATTGGGCAGAACTGGGTTGATGGTGTAGAATCCACGATTTGGTGGTGGAGGATCACTTGCTAACAGGGCTAGGATAGCAGCTGTTCGGCGAGGCTGACATCTGACCGGCGGCAAACAGCTAGCAGCAGATCGGCTGAGCAGGTAATTAAACAGGGCAGGATGTGCACAATCTACAAACTGTCAGCAGCACCAGACTGGGAAGTGTAGAGACAGGATGGCTTGTTCCAACGTGCAGTGAAAAAAGGAACAGATTAGCACAACAAACAAGGTTTTGCCGTGGAATAAGAAGCGGTGACATACACACCAGCGTCCTCTTACATCCCACTGAAAAATGTCCAGTAAGTTTAAGTTGAAGGACTGGAGTTCTACTGAGTAGAGGGTGGCAAAACTCACACTTGTGCAACATTAAACACACCAGTACCTATACTTAAAGACATTTATTTACAATGGAACAGAGTAAAAACACAATGTCTAATCAAAAGTATATACAGGTTGTACTTTCTTCTTCTTACAGAGTTAGATTTTCCATGCTAACTCTGCTGTGGCTCCTGTTGCTTGGAAAATCCGCTCGCAGACTTTGGGTCGTAGCTGCTGGCGCTGAAGTTGACTTGTTCACTATGTGTTGAAAAGCAGAGTGAGGGAGGGTGTTGCAGTCTGCCGTGGACAGGCCTGCAGAAAAGCATGTAGCCTTGTGCTGACCTGGTGCCGGGAGCTTTCTTGCTCCTTGAAAACCCGAGAGGGGAGAAGAAGCTGCTGCTCCTTAGCAAGCCAAGGAGAGAAGAGGGAGAACAAAAAAGGAAATCTGGTTTTGTCTGGTACGTCACACCCTGGGGGGTCACATGTCACACACTGACTAACACTGACTGGTCAGTGAGATCCCTGGGGGAGAGTCGTCCCCAGGTGTGAACAGTGAGGAACTGTGGGGAAGGGAGAGTTCTATTGTCTGTAGAACAAAGAACATGTGGTCTCCACCACTTGAATGTACTTAGTCCCAACAATACAATATATTAACCGATATACTGTGTAAATAGAAATTTTGTGTTTAAAGAAAATTGTTGAAATGGTTGGTGAACCTGGGCTAATGTGAGAATATTTGCCATCTCAATGGTATGAAATTGATTGAAAATGTAGAAACTCAAGGAATTAGGACTTAGAAAGACGTACAAAGATAAGTGGTAAAGAACATGTTTAAGGTACTGACCAGACTGGTTTCAAAGTCTGGCAAATTACAAACTAATACAAATACAAGCTGATTTTCCTGGGTTCCCGGGTTCAGTGGGAATCATTATTACAGACAGTTTGGGATGTGGATGTTGTGGAATCTGTGCTGGTTTTGCTCTGCCGTAACCCAGTGGTGACAGCAATACTCTCTTAAAACCTATCAGGGCCAAATTGACAAAATTTATTTTGAAAGAAAAGAACAAACTACTTAAAGAAATAGAGTAGGTAGAGAAATAGACATCCCTATAGCCCCTAGAAAGGTACGGGCTATAGGTAACTGAACATCACACTCACCACCTATTGTCAAGAAACCACATTCAATGACAAAGAAAAGAAGGAGAACACAAGTGAATCTTGGAGTGGCTTACCACCGCTGGAGACAGCTCCGTACGAATGGAGATGCGGTTTGATGCCGAGCTACAGCTTTTCTTTTAGACTGGTGGGTAACATCTTATGTTGGTCTGTAACAAAAAGTATCATTAGTGCAAACGACAAACTGTACCGACAAACATTTCAAGTGGCATAAATGTACGATATTGATGATGTCGACAGACGTTTTAACGGTTTAGTAGAATTTAGCCTGTTCCAGCGACTGTTGTCCAGTTAGTTATGTCAGTAACTTTTCTTTTACAAGACAATGAGACTGTTTGATCCAGAACCAGTGGGTTCAGGATCCACTGCCTAATACTGTATTTATTTTAGCATATTCATATCTATCCTTACTATTTATTATACACACACAACAGACATGTTTGAATATAAAGAACATGTATGATCTAAACAACTTGTCCTATGTCATATTTTTTTCTGTATCAGGACCAGAATTCCCATCCAGTTATCCCCACTGATGAACCAGCACCTGCCCTTCTTCTGCATCTGGCCTCATCAACCATCAACATCCACATTACAGTAACACCTTGGATCATTATCCCTACATAGAACAGATATTGTCTATACTGTGATCTTTTGCACATCATGCTCAGCAGAGGTTTTGTCAACACTTTAGTCCACATTTTTTTCATTTTTTATTTTTTTAATATGTGTATCTATCTATATTTATCTTTTTGACTGTTGTAGTATTTTATCTTTTTATTGTTATTTCCTATAAATGTGTTAATTGGATATTGCACCAAACACCAAGCCAAATATTTTGTAAGTAAAGAACTACCTGGCAACAAACCTTATTGTGATGATGTCATCATCCCTTCCTCATGCTGCTGTAGCCTGACACTCATGTATCATGCAGTATCCCCTTGCCTTCATATTTTTATAGGTAAATAAAAACATACTGTTTGTGTTACATAATTTGTTTCAGTGCTATGAACAATTTTAACTATCAACAATAAATGCACATATAAATAATAAATTATAAGAAACATTGGGAAAACAACATGTTTAACTGGACAGGGGCAAAGAGGTGAAATGCTGGAGCAAGTCTTACACATAACACCTTTAAATTATAAATCAAACAAAATATCCTGTGGCAAAAATGGAAGCTATTTAGAAAATGAATTATAGTGCAAACCTCTTTCTCACATCTCTTTCTCTTGATAATTAATATTTAAGGATTGTAGAAAAAGGAATACGACAAACACATACAACAAATAAATACATTTCTTGACTCTTTTATACAAAATAGCAACAACACAACCTCTTTGTTGCCCGTTTCTTTCTTTGAGGTGGCGTTCACCAGCCTTGAGGCTGTTTACAATTTGTACCTGATGATGACAACAGATGAACAACTATCAATGTGTGTTTGAGGCGGGTTTCTACACCACTAGAAAACTAAATAAAATGAAACATGTTGCTGTGTCTAAACAGAAGTTTTGATAACTAAAATAAGCATAGGTCTGTCATCTGTAAAAAACAAAATATACATTCTTTTACATTTTGCAAAAGAGTAAGAATAATGGGAGAATTGGCTATTCACTAATAAAAAGTATTCTGATCCATTGTCCATATCAATCTAAATATTCTCATTACAGGTGTTCAAACAGAGGTGACCACAATTCCCAGTAGTTCCACCTTTCTGGAAATGCTTTTCTACAGCTTCTCTTAACTCCACTGTGCTCTTTTCACTGTAGGAAATCCCTGGTCTGAAGATCAGATCTGATATCTTCTTCTCGTCCCTCCTGTGAGTGTGAAGTCTCCTGCACAGTTTCTTCAAATCCTTCATCAAACAAAACGTCTTGCAGGCCCTCAGTTCCAGCGACACGTTACTAGGCCTTTTGTTGCTCTGCTTGGCCAGCTGAACAACCCAGAATTTACCCAGGTCACTGGCACTCTTTGCGTGGCCAGCCACCATGTTGAGGATGAGGGGGTAAAGGTCATGAGCTGCAGCCGGGATTGAGGGTTCTGGGAGGCTGCAGTCGGGAGGAGAGTGGCTGGGCTGTGAAGAGGGCTGAGATGAGCGTAGAGAAGAATAAGAGGACAGTAAGCATGCAAAATGTCAAGGATTGCCCTGAGGAAATTTCAGGCACATATATGCATGTGTTTTGCCCAGAGGTCAACTCCTTACTCATCACTGCAACCACACTGTTTAGCACTGTGGTATTTTACTCTTTTGAATATATTGAGTTAAGGTATTGTTAATGAATCTTATCCAGATATTAATACAATAATAATACTATGCTAGATATTGCTAGAGCATAGATTATGTCTATAAAGTAAATCACTGAATGTAAAAGATGACATAGTTAAATCCTCCTTTTTTTTCTTTCTGTAAACATGCAGGAGTATTACAGAATCCTCCTATCTTAAGTCTTACGTTAAGAGAGCAGATTTTTATGCTAAAGTTAGAAGAGTTTAGATTTTGGGAAGTTAGGAAGCTTGTGTAATATACTTTTCTTATCTTAAGTGACATCTGACATCTGTAATGTTTTTTTTGCTAAATCAGGTCCTAACCCTTATTACCATGGTTAGCAAACAGTTACGACAGGATCTGCAAGTTAGGAAGTTTCTGTAATATGGCCCCAGGTGACATCATGTAAGCAACAACACAATAAAAATGTATCGTCACTAGAATCGCTCCTAGTCCGACAGCAAGAAATAAATGATAAAAACGACAAATTGCACCTGTGGGCAGATGATGAGCACTCGCTCTGCAGTCTTGGCCTGTTCTGCCAGCCAGCGCATTGGCCCCAGTTCTGCAATTTTACCCTGCTGCCACATGTCGATAGCAACGTTACAACCGCCGTGCCACTGCAGGAACTCTGCCAGGGTCACCACGGCCCGCTGGAAGGCCGAGTTCTCAGCAGGGTACACCAACAGCACAGGGACAGGAAGCGTGGGAGATTGTGGTAAACTTTTGAAACCAAATGATTTGGCAATGTTGGCACCACAGCTTTTATCTGGGATGTAAGAAAACATTGGAAAGGAGAGGTTAACTATCTTCAGAACTGGGCAGCATTGTCAAACATCTTAGATAATCTAGAGGGGATTCCAAAATTTGTAAAGAAATGTTGTAGTGAGACAAAACTTGATATGCTTCAGTGTCTCGAAGTTGAAGCATGTCTCCACTGCAAGATGACAAGACATTTAACCAGTAGTTAAAGAGTAGTTAAAGCTAAACTCCTTTGCAATGTGAAAGTGAGATTGTAGTAAATGAGTTGGAGAACATTTTGCAATTTTGAAATGACAGAGGACATATTCAAAGCATGTATACAAGATTGGCAGGTAAGCCTGTGCCTGTGCATTTGCTAGAAGGGAGCATTTTTTCTAATTATGGCATTGGTATAACACATTTTAAGCTGAAATAAACCATATTGTGCACACATAGAAGAAGAGTGCATTAAGTTGAGACTCTATTCCCAATTATCTGCAATTTAACATTAAATTCATGTTTAAAAAATTTTGTATTTACAAATTATGTAGCAGAAACTAAGGATCATCAAACCGATCAATCCTCCAAAAATGATTCCAGTGACACGTTCTGTTCTCAAAGCTGCACGGACAAACACAAAACACATTCCTTATTTCACTTCATGTAATATTGAACTGATTTAGTGTATAAACTGACAGTACTTTAAGTAACTGGGGAGTCTTACGTGAAGTAGTGATCTCAACCAGAGTGAAATCTATACAAAGTAGTGCCAAAGAAAATAATCAACATTTTTGTTATAAAGTATTATAAATTACATACATCTACAAACATGCACAAGCAAATGTGAGTGCTCACCTGTAGGAACTTGAGTAGACTTTAGTGTAACACCTGCAAAGAAAACAGAAAAGACATTTTAATACTTTTATAGATTTAATCTGTTGATGAGGATCAATAAAGTTGGGAATAAAAAAACTTACTCTGTATTGGAAGAGATACCATAATCCTTTCATACTTATAAGAGGGGCCACTCCCCAGTGGAGGCAAAGGGAGATTGGTAGCTTGGATGAGAATGGAGCCATAGCTTGCTTTTACTAAATGATGAAACCATTGCTAGATTTGAAAAGATGATAGTCATTGCAGTTATTTTAATCTTTACAACCTCACAGATCCTTTTGTAGGTCCATCATTTCAAACTAATGCTCACAGTTAAAACACAGGAATGTCTTATCAGTTCTAGTTAAGATTCTATCTGTTGCACCTGCTTTGATGCAGTGATGTTTGCTCTGGCTAAATGTGGCTTGTATTTGCAGAGGTACGAGGATTCCCCCGTCTTGATCAACGTGCCCATCAGATGTTCAATGCTAGCTGCAGAGAGACAGAACATAACCAAGTTTAATGGCTTTAGGGATAGTTCAATAAGGAAGATGTCCCCTCTCACTTCTCCATCTATTGGGAATTCCTGCTATTGTCCTGCTTTTACATTCATCTACTCCATCACTTTCTCTTTCACATCGGTGTATCTGGCAAATTATCATTCTGCCCACAACCCCCAAACCAATCCACCCATGCCCATCACCACCTTATCCTACAGGACAATCCAGGATCCAGAGGTTCCATTTTTCATCTTCTGGCTTTAGTCTCCCACCAGCAGCAGCTAGACCCCAGGGGATTCTTCCTATCTCCTACCTTCACTGCCCTAAAATACATCAGCACCCGCTGTTGCACTCTCTTTATTCAACTGAGGACAAAATATGAGTTGGTCAGTGTTGGCTTTCAGATATTGTCAGTCAGTGTCCTTCAATTCTAATGGATATAAATACAGTTTATTTACACTGCAGTGAAGGTCAGCCTATCCAGGTCTTATTTATTATTTTAAATGTTCAACATAAGATGGTGTTGAACATGAATTTGACTGCCTTATTGTTTCTCTACCATTAGGGTGCTCCTCCTGCCTCATACCTGCTACACACACTGTACGAGCTTATTCTATTCTGTTTGATTATACACAGGACATTTTTACCTTCAGTCTAGTCCAATGTCACCCAAATCAGACTAAAGTTCTGTTTGTCAAGTAATTAAAATGAGGAGTATCCAAGAAATCTCTGATGTTATGGGACAAACGTTGTTTGTGTAACACCTTTTGTTGTTTTAGCAGATAGTCAGTGATAATCAGTAAGATACTGTCTTGTAATTAAAAAAAATATTTAATAATTAAATTTGAAGGTGCCATGACAGAGAGCTCTGCTCCATTTGTGCTGCTGTTGTGTTTTAGGTGTTTGGTTACCTGCATTAGCAAAACATTACTAAAGTGACCAACATCATGTGGTTGTTTTCTACCATCAATGCTGATTGCCCAGCTGATGTTCAGCATATCTTGTTGTCCCACTGTCACCTGCTCCACTTTCAGAGCTCCCAGGAGAGATGGAGAGGTATCATTGGTTGGAGGGAAATCTGAAACAAGAGACAACTGTGGTGATCATTTTCCACACATTGATAATGTGAACTCTAGAGCTGTAAAATATGTTGAAAACATGAGTGGCTACAGATTTTTACTAAATTTCATTTTTAATAAACTTCTGTTGCCTAGCGATAGATATAAAGCTGGCAATACAATTCTATTTCTTATTAACTTTTTCTGGTGGGTTACATTCAGAGGTAATGGAAGTTCCACTTTCCACTGAGATGACAGCCCTAAAATAACTTCATGGGAAATGTTATGTAAAGGGTTTTCATGCAAGAAAGAAAGCTGGTAGCTTTGGAGAATCAAAATTAATCTAACAGTACAACATATCGTTAACTGGTAGCTTAAAAGATATTGGTGTCTGCACCGGCCAACAAATACCTATTTGAGTCAAACTCTACAGTGGCAACAGCTTTTAAAACATACATAATGTCATATTATTGACATTCGAGGTCAGAGTTCTCATCCACAGTATGAATAAAACATCACAACTTACTATGAAATTCACGACACTCCACTTTCTGCAAACAAATCCCAGAAATACATCACTTAAATCATTTTCATCATTTTTCATTTTAAGTGAAACAATTAATGGCTCATCTGTTAAAATCAATAACTTACAATTTCATGTGACATCACTTTGGCCTGGACATAGAAAAAAATGAACGCGACTCCCCACATCATGGAGCAACTGCTGGCCTTAAACAATGATAGATAAAATAAAATAAAATAAAATAAACTATCCACAGCATTTTCAGCATTGGCTCATCAGTGTACCATCCTACCTGCAGTGCACTTGCTGAATAAATCTTCAGATACAGCGACACTGGTTGGGTTACGTTAACTATAAATACAGCCTGCCAAGCCCCGCCCCCCAACCGTTATTTGCTGCCTGGAGTTAGTGCGGAACTCCAGTCACAGAGGTAAGCTCAGCATTTTTCTGGTCACAAATTCAACTGTTCAGTGTCCGTCACTGTGTCTTTACATTAAACTACTTCGACAACACTTGGGTTTAGTGTTTGTAAAGTTGCATGCGGCGGTTTGCACAACCTACGGACATACTAGCAAATCTAAACAAACAGTAACGTTGAAGTCCTGAAATAAGTCTTAACACTGCCGTCACCATTAGCCTATCCCCTCTAAAGATTTGAAATAAAGTTTTAACGTCTTTTCTTGACGCCTCTGAAGCATGTAAAGTATGTTTTAATCTAGAGGAAATGCGTCAACATGTAGCTATGTACTGCAGTAGACCCACAGACCCTTAACTGTTATTCTGATAAGATCGCGGTTACGAAGTTGGCCTTTCATCGTTAACATTTCGTTCAAACTAGTCTTAAAAGATGAGTTTGAAGGTTAGTGAAAGTTATAGTATCCCAGTCTTTCCCGATTGTGAGTTATTTGATGTCTCAGTTCATTACTTTATTATTATTTCTGGCTGTTTGTTGAGGTCAGGTTGACACCAGCACTGCTCGTGAGTGCCTGGTTTATTGATATGACCTAGATATCCCTCCCTGCCTTGGCCTGAGTGACAAGACTGCATTTACAAGACCAGAGAGTTTGTAGCAGCCTTTGCTCCTTAACCTTTTGCAACATCGCAGAAAAAGCAGAACACAGCTTGGGGGACGAACATATGGTCGACAAGAGAGGCCACTCAACTTCAGTAGTTTGGAGACGTTTTGGCTATTTACAGTCCGACAAAAAACAATGTGCACTGCAGACTGTGCCGGAGACACATTCCATCAAAGACAGGCAACACCACAAACCTGTTTCATCATTTCAAACAATATCACCCGTTATAACACACAGAAAGTAAGAAATTACAGGCCCAAACGAGTATTAGCGGACCCTCAACGAGCGCCAGGCCAGTACCCAGTGCAGATCTTCACCACAGAATGGTCTCTTTATTTTTGTATTTATTTTGCAGTCTGAGCCATATGACGTGTGCTGTATCACACTGCAGAACTTTATTTTCTATTTACTTTGAGTAAAAAGGACTGAAAAGGATTTTGATTTTAATCATGCATATTTTATCATAATTTGAATGTTTGTACCTCAGAGTTTTTAAATGTTCTGCTGTTTGGAAAGTTTGTCATGTTCTGACTAAATAGAACAATTTAAAACCAGAATTGACTGTCTGATTTCTTCAACTTTCACTCAGGAGCAAAAATCAGCTCTTAAGGCTGAAAGAAATAACGATGTGGCATTTATCATGATAAATATCGATATCAATTTTCATTGTGATACCAGTTTTGGCCATATCGCCCAGCCTTACTTAGTTTCATTCAACACTATCAGACACACTAATTTAAGTTTCAGTTCCAGATTCAGCTTGCCCCTTCCAGTATGTCCTTAAATGTGTGTTGTTGTGATTTCTAGTGAATGAAGAAAGCCCTTCCAGGACCAGGATGTTGTGTCTGGCCACACTAGGGCAAACTGGTGCCCGACGAGTTGTGACTGTGACTCAGGGGAGATTTATGAGGGGCAGCAGATGTTTTTGTCACTTTGTCCCCAAGACCCAACCCATTGGGCCTTCCTTTTCCTGTTCTTCCACCAGCCATTACAGATACTTTGGTGCCTCAGCTGCTCATTGCAACTCTTCATCATCACTATACCAGAAAAAAACATCTTACAGTTACATAATTGTTGGGGCGGGGTCAGCAGGCTGCGTCCTTGCCAACCGTCTCACAGAGGATGCCCATGAGTCTGTGCTGCTGCTGGAGGCTGGGCCTAAGGACATGCTGCTAGGCAGCTTACGACTGTCATGGAAGATCCACATGCCAGCTGCGCTGACCTACAACCTTTGCGATGACAAGTACAGTAGTTAAATTATTTCAGTTGTTTTTCACTGGTTTTGAAATGTTTTGGTGCAGATGTATGAACCTATTTTATTTTGCCTTAGTGTCTGTCGTTAATTATTAGACAGTACACAGTTTGTGTGTCTGCAAACACAAATTACGTCAATGTAAATGTTGAAAATGTGTAACATTTTGACTTTATGTGACTTTTAAGTGAGACGTTTATGTTAACAAATTAATCATGAAGAAACATCATAACATTTATCACATTAATGCAACACACTGGTCCAGTATTTTGATCAGTCCTGACATAAATATGTATTAAGTCAAGTCAATTTTCACTTATGTAGCGCCAAAGCACAAGTTATCTCAAGGCACTACTATTAGACTTCTTTTTCATAAGCAGTACACCTACAGATATCTGCTCCAGTTGACGCCAGGCTGTATTTCTCTTCGTTTCTCTTCAGGTATAACTGGTGCTACCATACTTTACCTCAGACCCACATGGACAACCGGGTGATGTACTGGCCAAGGGGCCGTGTTTGGGGTGGGTCCTCTTCACTCAACGCTATGGTGTACATCCGTGGACATGCTGAAGACTACAACCGCTGGCAGAGAGAGGGGGCTGAGGGCTGGGATTATGAACACTGTTTGCCTTACTTCAGGAAAGCTCAGTCCCATGAGCATGGAGAAAATAGGTACCTAACAAAAATATCTGGAGGGTTTGTTTTTTAGTACCTTTTGATTTATGTCCAGATAATTTTAATATGTAGGGACCAAGTTTGAAGTGGAATCCTTCAGTCGTGTTAGGACTTCAAAATGCATCATGAGTAATCAGAAAGTGTCTTATCAATGTGCAATGACACAGTGACAATCTGAAAACATGAGAATGAGTGCATCACCAATCTAATTTCAGTGCAAGAAACTGGCCAACCTGGAAGCACAGACCAATGAAGGATGTAGATAGCAGCTCACACATTAACATACTTGTTCAAAATAGCATGATTTGGAAATAAGATATCACAGGTGAAAGTGATACATATGTTTGTGTTATAGTGAAAGACAGATGTTATTGTACATTTAGTGAATGTGTTTTAATCTGTCAGAGACTGGAATAGAAGTCTGTCATGCCTTGCCTCCATGGGAAGCTAATCCTTCAGTATTGGATTAATGAAATGCTTCCAGTGAGTAATAAAGCACCAAATCATGTCCATTTGTATGTGTTTAAACTTTGCAGCATAACAAACACATACTCAGTATGAGGTCAGTGCCAAGCCCTATTGTTGTCGGTATTCAGGAATTGTTGAGGTGCAAACCGCTTCACATTTTAGTTAAAAGAGCATGATGTTAGGTTTAGAATACCTGTGAAGTCTCCATTTAAAGGCTTATGTTAGATCAGCCTTATACAGATACATTAGCTATAAGTATATAATAGTATAGTATATGAGAATTCGGAGTTCAGGTCAGTCCCAGTGAGCATAGCTACTGTATTTTCACATGCCGCTTTATATGTGTCAAATGTTAACAAACAGCTTCAGAAATGGTTTTGATCTGATAGATTTTAGAAAGATAAATATTTTTTCTTCCTCCGAGTAAGTGTAGGTAGCAGGGTCTTAGCACATCTGTTTTTCAGTCTTTGTGGGGACCCTGTCATCACTATTTATTCATAAGCTCTGACTGGAGAACTGTCATGGAAGTATACAAAATAAAGTTCTGAGAAATGTACACAGCTGTCGGCAGAAAGGTAGCACTGCTGATATTATAATGATTAATATCTTTGAAGTATTGATCACTGATTACCTGAACATAATTCCTACAGACAAATTATTTTGTATTTTCAAATGGAACTGTTCTCATGTTGGTGAAATGTTAACTTTGTGTTTCTTATGTGTACTTTAGGTACCGAGGTGGCAGTGGACCTCTTCATGTGTCCAGAGGAAAGACCAGCCATCCTCTTCACAAGGCTTTTATTGAGGCGGGGCAGCAGGCAGGGTACCCCTTCACTGATGACATGAATGGATACCAACAGGAAGGCTTGGGCTGGATGGACATGACCATTTTTAAAGGTTTTATGAAAATAGAATTACTATGATAAAAGGATATAATTAAATATACAGCTTTTATACGGTATGCCTTTTATGAACTGCTCCTTGATATTGTCTGCATCTCACTGCCCAAATCTGTCCAGGGAGGAGGTGGAGCACAGCAAGTGCCTACCTGAGACCTGTCCTGGCTCGACCTAACCTGAAAGCGGAAGTGCGCTGCCTAACCACCAAGATCCTGTTTGATGGAAGCCGTGCTGTGGGAGTGGAATACATACAGAAAGGACAGAAGAAAAGGGTAAGATGGACAGAATTCCCAACATTTTAAAAGATGGGAAAATTATGTTGTGAAAGGTGATATCAATAAAAACTTGATGAACTCACAAAATTGGAATGAACTTTCATGTTTGAATGTTTGACATGATTTCATTTGATTGTATGTAGATTATTTTTAGCCATACAAGTAGTGTGTATAAATCAGGAACACCCAGAAGGAATTTCATTACTTTTGTCACACATCACAAAACACATTTTTGTTCATAACTCACAAATTCATACACTAATTATGACACAATTTAATTCAAATGTCCCTAAGGATAAAATTAGGTGATAACATTTTATATCCAAATGGTCAAAGGTGAGTGACAACATAATGTTCTGCAAAAACACTTCTGGCCTTTATTCAGTGCTATAACTCAGGAAGGGGAGACTGTGACCATATTTCCTCTAACTTAGCTGGATCACGGAGAAAACAACCACATGCCGGTGATTTCTACTTCAGTGAACTAACTAACTGAATGGATTGCCAAGAAATTTGGTAAAGATGCCAGTGTTGCCCAGAGGATGAATCCAAATGACTTTGGTGATCCCCTGACTTTTCATTTACAACAAATTTTTACTTATTTTTCCACAGTTCCTGGACAGTATATTCAAATGACTTTGAGGTTGACATTTCCATTTTATAATTGTCATTGTGAGCAAGTTGGCATGCTGACATTAGCATTTCTCTGAAAGCACTGCTGTGCCTGATCACAGAACCGCTGGCATGGCTGTATACTCTTAATCTTGTTGAATGATTCACTCATCAGTTTTCCTGTTCTCTCCTTAGGTGTTTGCAGATAAAGAGGTGATATTGAGCGGAGGAGCGATCAACTCCCCTCAACTTCTCATGCTGTCTGGGGTGGGAAATGCCGATGACCTGAAACAACTTGGCATCCCTGTGGTTCAGCACTTGCCAGGTACATTTTATGGTCTTAAGAGATTTTTTTTTTCATTTCAACAAACTGAACTGAAATGGAAAAAAGAAAATTGACTTCAAAGACATTCATTTTCACCTGTTTTAGTGCTAACACACAGACCAGATTGGTTTTAATGCCCGTCTGTGTATATTGACTCATATTCTTCTGCCTGTTGTTCCTCAGGTGTTGGCAGTAACCTGCAGGATCATTTGGAGCTGTATATCCAGCAGCAGTGCACTGAGCCTATCACCCTGTACAAGGCTCAGAAACCTTTCCACATGGTCAAAATAGGCCTTGAGTGGCTCACCCTGTTCACTGGTAACCAAAGGCCCCTACACATGTATATGGGAACACATACATTCTCCTCAAAAATAATGCATTTCTGTGAGATTTTATCACTAAGTACACTTTATTTTTGAAAATGTATTCATATAATTTGAAGTCCCCTTCCCTAAATTTCACTTAATCTGTGCTTTTCATTGAATCGGGAAATATCAGTTATAGACAGCTATGGTTAATATAAACTCTGTCTTAAAATATAGCATTAATGGAGTTTGAAGAAAACTGCTTTTCCTAATTAACATGCATGCAATATTCACAGCATGGTTTTCTACAGTCTCTGCAGATAATTTATTCTGTAGATGTTACGCATTGATAATAACATCTTCAGTTTTTTCTCAACCTAAATGATAACTAGCCAGATTCCAGGAATTATTTATCTCCGGCGTGAGCACTGCTAACATAAGTAAACCACAGAAAAATAAGCCTACCAACTGAAATCTACCAAGAAGATTCAGTTTTTTATAATTTAAGCACAAGTCCTTACAGCTCGATAATTATGTATACACAGGAAACAGCTGGCTGTGAATCTTTGGGCTGACACTTCTGCACAGGGTGTGTTTGCCTGCGGCACTGGTTGATTGTAAGACACAGTCATGAGCAGGGAGAGCCAGCTATTTGTGCACCATAGCACACGTTCGCCCAATTGCTATTTGGCAACTTTTTGTAATTCACAGCTGTTTTCTTCACAACAGTTCTTTTAAAGAGCTGTCCTAATGAGGAATCAGAAAACATATGGTGAAATTACATTAACTGTCACAGAATACAGACTGTGGGCTCATGGACAAGCTTGGTACATCATTGTGGTAGGAAGTTCTGTAGTGTCGACAGTAGGTTCACAATAAGGAGCCGGAGTGGGAAGGCAGGCTTTTAACGACACAAGTCTTAAGGCTGACGCAAGTCCTAATACGCATTCACTATCACAAACACAAACTACATAATTCGCACCACTGGCAACAGACACCGACAGTCAAGACAAGAACAGTGACTGAAATATCTCAAAAACAATCTGCTCATCACAAACCTCCATAAACACCCAGAGTCATATGTTCTTATGTTAGAAAGATAGATGTCACCTGTGTGTGTGTGTCCCTTAGGTTATGGAGCAACAGCCCACTTGGAGAGTGGAGGGTTCATCCGCAGTCGGCCGCACATCACACATCCCGACATTCAGTTTCACTTCCTGCCCTCACAGGTCATCGATCACGGACGAGTTGCCTCTAAGATAGAGGCGTATCAGGTGTGTGTGGTTTGTGTTTAGGAAATGGTGACAGCTTTTTGTGCAGGTAGAAAATGTGATGGAGGTTTAATGAGAAAGTAATATTAATATTGACATGGGTGTGGATGGCACTTTTGATGTACAGAGAAATGTGTGTCTGTGTTCTGGCTGTTTACTCACAGAAAATTTCAAGGAGCAAACGGATATACATTCTAATGCACCTGTACACACTGACATTACCCCAGTGTTAGTCATTACTAGAATAAAAGCTCATACAGTGCACATGACACAAAGGAGTGTTTAAATAGTCACACATGCTATTCCATGGAAAACCAATGTTACCTCAGAAAGTCAATGATACAACAGGAGTTTGGCCTTGGCCTATTGACATTTATACTGAAGCCTTAATTGAGTCCCACATTGTGTGCACAATGTATTTTCTAATGTCTGAACTCTAAACAGGGAAATATAAAGACATGTCAGGCTTCAGCAAAATTATCATCAGGTTATTTTTGGTTAAAGAATTGGCAGGTTTGTGATTTTACAAATTAATGAACGCAGGTTACCTAAACAGCTAGAAAGACAATGAACCAGAACACATGTATATACAAATATGTACTGAATGTAGTCATGGTCAAAATCACATAGTGGTTGTTTTACTTGCACCACTACTTACTCTTCATTTAGCAGGAAATGACTGTGTGAGTTCTGTGAGTCTGTTTTTGAAGAAACTTTCCATTGCACAAAGATGGTGTAAAGCTTACCATGGGGTTTTTGCAAGTCTGTATTAATAGTGTTCACATACCATACTATGTGGTACAAGTCATTATGGCAGGAAGTCTCATGTTTCACTATTACATTCAAGTCACTGAACCAAGCGTTTTTTTTCTGAAAAATAAAAACCTGATGATATTTGAAAAAGGAGGATCTTTGAAGAACATTTGCTGATGTTCTGAAGCCATTTCCAGAACCCCGACAGAAGATCTCTCTTAGACTGAAACACTGAGTTGTTAAATTCACTTTGCTGGCAGCCATCAGTACAGTGTGCAGACTTTTTGTCTGACTTTTACCTTGAGCTTGTTCTTTTTGTGGAAGTGTTTTACATGTGTGCGCTCTACAGTGTTTGTCTTCAGATTCCTCGAACACTTGTCTGGATGAAAAAATATTCTGTCGGCTGCATGATTTAAAAAAATAAATAAATAAAAAATTTAAAAAGATTTTAACCCATGAAATGAAAACATTTCATTATTGGTTATGCTTGTCTGCAATTACACTTTATTGTATTATTTAATTATCTTGCTCTTTTAGATATCACTTGGTTTTTATTGTTTGTGTTGTAGGTTCATGTAGGACCAATGAGAAGCACTAGTACCGGCTGGATGAAGCTGAAGAGCACCAACCCTCTGGATCACCTGAATCTCCAGCCAAACTATTTGTCCACTGGTAAGATTCAGTCTCTGAACTCTGAACCTGACATCACAGGTTTTTTGATCTCCCAAGATATCATTAGTCTTCTCAATCACTATGAGACCTCCCCAAAGAACATCTGTGTCCCTGGATGTACTTTTTGTACATTATAAAAATTGTACATTCTGCTTTGACTCTTCTTTCTGACAGCTGAGAGGAAGGATGATAGTAATTTGAAAAAATTGTACTTTGTGCTTGATTACTGTAACTCTGAATACATATTGAATGTATATTCACATCTAAAATGTAAAAGTCTAAAAGTGGATATCAGCAATGTGGAAAGTTATTTTGAATTGAAGCTTGGAGTTGGGTTGACTGACTTATAGATCATTTAGCAGAATTTTAAACTGATTTATAAAGCCAGTTTTTGATGTTCATCTTCTTTATCATCTGCTCTCCTCTCAGATATCGATGTGTGGGAGTTTAGGGAGTGCGTTAAACTCTCCAGAGAGATTTTTGCCCAGAAGGCCTTCGACCCATTCCGTGGTCCCGAAGTCCAGCCTGGTCCTCAGGTCCAGTCCGACACCGCCATCGACGCTTTTGTCCGCCAAAAGGCTGACAGCGCCTACCACCCATCCTGCACCTGCAAAATGGGCTCTCCCTCCGACCCGATGGCAGTTGTCGACTCAAACACACGGGTTCTGGGTTTGGAGCGGTTGCGTGTGGTTGATGCCTCCATCATGCCCAGCATCGTCAGTGGGAATCTGAACTCTCCTACTATCATGATGGCAGAGAAGGCTGCTGACATCATCAGAGGTCGCCCGCCTCTTATCGACCCAGGAGTTCCCGTGTACCAACCGCCGACACTCGACACACAGAGATGAATACTGAGTTATGGGTATGTGTGGGTCAGAAACAGTTCTTAACACAATAGGCAAAAACAGCAGTGAACCACTTATTGTGTTCTTGATTGTGAGGTGATCATTTATCTTTTTGATCTGATTCTGTAAATTAATAATCTGAGCATGTTGTCTTTTACCACATCTGATTTGAACACAAGGTAACATATCGGTGTAAAATGTGGCCAATAGCCACAGGTTAACAATAATTATGAAGGTTTGATGTACACAATCTAAATTCATTGCCATAATGGCGTTGAATACAGTTGATATTAGCTGTTTACATCTGAAATTAATAGTATTTCAATTGTTGCCATGACTGTCTTCTGATGAAGAGACAGTCAATTGTCATATTTTTTTTTTTTCAATGATTTTGGTTTTGTTCCATTGCAAATAACAATAACATGTATTTAGTAAACTTAAAACTGATTGGATAAAACTTGCAGGCTCCCTGATAATGGTTTCCTCTTCTACCTCGATGGTGAGACCAATGACTGAAACTGATTGTTTGATGAGTCAACTCAGTTAACCTGAGCAAACAGAAAGAGACTGGACTAACCAATACGAAGATAATAATAACCAAGATCAACAGATTTGTACTTTGAAATGTACTTCTATGAGACACTTGATTTTACATAGAACTTGACTCAACTTTATAAATACTAACATTTATATACATTTATAGAGTCAGCTGTGTGCTGAAATGTCATGACAGCACAATGTGTTTGCTAGGAAAGACAATGAGCATTTGCATAATTACTGTGGATGTAATGTAAAATAGTTCTGGAGAAAATTTTAGTTAATTTCCCTTGCATTACATTGTCAAATATGAACAATGCACCGACTTGGATGTTAGTGTAAATATGTGCATGAATCATGTTTTTCACCGACTACAGTGATTTTTAAATCTTATAAGAAATCCAATCCATAAAATAATGCCTATAACATTTTTTAGGTAACATTTTTTTAGCCCACAGAAAGCATTCAAGCCAAGTACCACAGCATGTGAATTGTTTTAAATGGGTCTCAAGTATCACAAAGAGAAAAATGTGATCTCTGAAGTGATCATGACTCTTGTTGTCTGCCTGATGATCATTTCATGCAGTGTTTACTTGTTTTTTCTCTATCTCAGTTTATCACAAACATAACATCCATGTTGCTTCCTGAGAACTTTCAGCTTGAACACTTTGACAAAATACTGTTTTCATAGGTTTGTTGCACTCGTTTTAACACAGTGTGAAGAACAATATTTCTTTAAATCCACCTGTAAAAAAATAATTTAGCCTCATCTCTTGTCTTATTTGACAGTTGAGTCTTAAAACAGTTTGGAGCCTTATCTCCAGCTTGACAACAAATTGCATCAGTTCTCTTGTGAATTCCACAGTATGCATGCCACCCCCACCAACTGTTGAAACTTGAGGTTTAGCAGGTTACTGATGTATTAAATGTGCATTTGACAACAAGGTGTGTCTGCCTCAGGCAATAAGAAACAGGTAAAGTTAATAAGTAACAAATAGTGGGCAAAAGACACATCTGTCTCAGACTCAACAGCCCCTGACTTGGGTTTTTTAAATCTTTGGAAAGAAATGCTCACAGCTCATTTTCTGTTTTGTCTGGGTTCAGAAATGGATTCAGTTTGCTCTGATCAGGACTCAAACTCAACTGGTCCTGGGCTTGGAGTCGTCTTGATCCTGACAGCAGTAGAGATTAAATGACTCACCCAGATTCTTCCCAGGAAAGTAGGCTTGTTTTCTCGCAGTGATTGGTAAACATCCTCACTTTGTTGATAAAAAGACTACACAGGCAAATTGTCACAACAGAGGGAAACAGGAATGAGAGAGAAGAGAATCCAATTGTGATGATACCAAAATGAAAATGGCCACACACAAAAAAAAAGAAGAAAAATCAGTTGCCTATTTGCATTGCCCACCAAAATATGATGTAATTACACTATGATAGCCTTACTTGAAGCTATTACACTACTCTATACATGGTTCTAGATTTCAACAGTGGAATGATCAAGCTTTTACTTCTGGCTAGTCTGGCGGCTGTTGCAATAAATAGAAATTATATCTCAGACTATCAAATCTGGGTAATTGTGTTGAAAACACTATATTTTAATATTGTCTAAAAACTAAAAAGATCTTTGTAGACATCACGTTTTTCTATGTTTACAAATAAGGTTTTGAAAATGATTATGTGTAACTGATGAGATCAAATGACCTTGTTAAGTATGATAATCTCTGTGAATACAGTATGTGACCGATTACCATTTGGTTCAACCAGTCCTGATAACATTAGTGTTGAGCAGATTTTAAATTTTGAGACACTGAAAATCTTTCTTGAAATTAAATTCATTTTTTTTGTTATCAGCTCTATTGGAAACAGCCAAATGCTAAAATGAAATCTAATAGTGTCTTATTAAGCTTTGCACTACGCTATGAAGTTTCTTAGCTCAGCTTCATTGCTGTGACAGTTATTGTTTACATTATATGCAGCCTTGTACAATATTTCTTGAATGTTTATATCACTTGTGTCCTAATGAAGGAGTAACACATGGATCATAAAGGGGAAATGATTGTGAAAATTCATACAGCTGGACAATAGTCCTAACAAAGATCCTCAGCAGGTTCATTTCAGGCGAGAATTCATATGTACAAAACAGGGTTTTTGTGTTCATTAGAACAAAATCTAAGGTACAAGTACTTATGCTACAAAGTGCTATGTTTTTTTTTAATTTTCATACAACAAATGGATAGAAAGCAAAAATGTTTAAATTCACTTACTTTTTACAAACACTGTACAGATTTTATACATTGTTGTCATTTCCTAAGCATCTGTAAAGCAGTGCAACAGTACAAAAAATAAAGCTGTCTCGTTCACAACAAAGCTTTGGGTTGCCAAATTTTGTCATTTCACTTCTTTTAATGAAAATTTGGACACATCTGGAGAGTTGTTCCTGACAAGTCAAGAGGTTTTATTAACTCATGAAGTAAATCTGAACTGTATCTTTGTCATTAATTTTATTTTGTTTGTAAAACCAATTAATGATGACACTGAAACACTCAATTTAATAAAACATTTGGTATTGATCAAGTGATTACTATCTGTGTCGCCCATCACTGTCCTCCCCATGATCACTTTGTAAATGTCAGTCAGAGATCAGAAACTGCTCCAGGAGCTGAGGAAAACATGGCCAACTCTTGAGCAGTAAAGTGCTCATAATTACTCTAAAACATCTTTTAAAGTTTTTCATTTAAAAAGTCATTAGAATCCAAGACAGTAAAACAGAATCTGCTGGCTGTATTTACACAAAATGATGAGAATTTAAATTGGAAAATGTGTGATTTCTGTATGCGAATTGTGTGATTCTTGATTCTTTTTCTTTTTTTTGCTGGTTGTTAAGATTTCAGCACTGCGCATTCCAGAAATCACATCAGTTGAGCACTGAGATGACTTTCCTGTCTTAGAGGTTTTTAACATCTCAGTCTGCTTCTTAAATAATCATTAACCAACCATAATGTGGAGTTGTGGAACACCCATGTGGCCAATCAGATCAATCACAGGAGAAAACTATGAATATGAAAGCGTTTTACATTATTACTACTTTAGAAACAAGTTTACTTTCACTTTGTGGAAATTCAGCCATTGCCACACAGTTTCCCTGACACATTAACCAACACACCTGGATAGGTACCGAGGTAATAGCAATAATATTTGTTAAAGGTCTTAATTAAACACAATTTACATGCAGTTAGAAAATGCAGAAGTCATATTTATCAGCAGTATTGGCCACTAAATCCTGTATACATAAATCATCTGGAGAGAAGAGAGGAGTGCACTTACAGTACATGCAAAGAGTTTTCCAAATACCAGCTCATGTCCTGTTTCAGGTGAGATTAATATGTATATAAACTGTATTATCACAACACCGAACAGCAAACTTTCGTCTCATTATCTGCATCAATCATGTTCAGACATGACAAGAACTGGTGCACACCTCAGAAAAACCATTTTAAAATGAAAAATTATTATTTATTAAAAATGATTTGGAAAATCATTGGAATATTGTGCATGTAAATGCACTCACTGATCACTTGATTTGGTTTTATATTTGAAGGAGCCCTTTGTTTGCCCTGACAACAGTATTTAGACTGAGAAAAAAAAGAAAAGCATGATCACCCTGCCATGACCCAGTGTTGGTTTTTAAAGGCTGACCTGAGGACATTTTTACATGTGGCAGTGGCAGACAAACACTGGAAAGTGGTGGAGCTGATGTGCAGAACAGCAGGTGAGAAATGTTGCCTCTCATCAGTTTTTTTACCTATGAGCATGTTGCGTAGTTCTCCTTTCAGACAAGCAGCTGCTTTGGACATCTTGTGCACTCAAACTGGTGCTGGAACAAAAAGAAATCCTACAAATAAACACCAGCAGTTAACATCAATCATTTCACTCCAAGAAAACTTTATATACACTCAGCAACAATATACTTAATTTATATATTGTCAGGAAAAAAAAAATATATATATATATATATATATATATTTCTCTGGTGTGTTTTGATCTGTTTACTTCATCTGACTCATCATGAAACAAGCACTCAGGTGCCAGAGAGAACAAGCACATTGAATGTGACAATGGATTCAAGTGAACACCAAAAAGTGTTGAGCCAAATATGGCTTGGAATGCGTATGCTTCAGCTATGATGAAGGAATCTCTGGATAATCTTTGTTGCCTTGTAAAAACATATTATTAATCAAAGTTTCTTGCAGCAGTGAAACATACCATACTGGTAAGTCTCACATGACACAGTGTTATACTGTATGTGTCATAGGGCTGGCACTTTTTCAACAATGTGTGAAAAAGTGTGAGTAAGGAATCCTTGCATATTCTGAGTGAGCCTTAACAGTCTTTACTCACAGTTTTCAAGGGGCTTTGGGTTAGCGATCACTATAGAAATAAGTCTGTGATATTGTAATAACTTAATTTTTCTTTGTTTTCATAATGGTTAAAGCAGTAAAATTAATAAGTGTGTAAGTTTTTGGTTAAGTAGGTGTTTTGTTGGTATAAAGGGGGGAAAGACTTACAACATGTTTCTGTGTGTGTCATTTCAGCATACACATGAAACAGAAGGATATGCCTGAGGAGAAAGTCTTTCTCACTGATATGTGATTTCCTTTTCAAGTCAAAACTGGAAACGAGCAACATTTAAACCCTGAAACCCTGAACTGGTAACCAAGAGCAGCTCCCAGATTCACTGGATGGAATGGCTTTGGATCAGCCTGCTTGCCACTCTTGCTGAGATGAGTTGAAATAAACTATGTGATAAACTGAGGATTTTCTGTTTGTTTGTTTTTGTGTTTGGTTTTTTGTCTTATCTGAGTTATAAAGGCCAAAATGTAATGGGATAAATGAGCAGCAGATCAAAATTGTGTCTGTTATTATGACCAATAAAAGGTTAAGATCACACATAGGGCCTGATTTACTAAGATCCCAAATAAAGAGCGCTAAATTGCGTGCGCACACGGATAGATTGCGCGCGCTGCCTGTTTGGGCCTTGCGAGTGATTTACTTAGATTAGAACAGCGCAGTTGACTACAGGCGCAAAAGTGATCGAGCCGGCCCTATTTAAATGAGGATTTTGCGCGAGTTAAGGGTGTTCACCGTGGCGAATGCAAATGAGCAGATCCAATTGGACCGGAATTGGAGGTGCTGGTACAAGAGGCAAACAAGCACATTTCTGAGTTATAGCAAAGGAATTTAACCGTTATTAGGAGGAACGCAATATGAGAGGCAATCTGTGACAAGGTTAATGCTGTGGGGAAAACCAAAAGAACACCGGATGAAATGAAGAAAAGGTGGCAAGACATTCGTAGAAGAACAAAGGAAAAAATCGCACAGAATAACAAATCGGCAAATAAAACAGGTGGGGGACCGGCGGAGGAGGACCCTCTGTCTTCCACTGAACAGCAGGTGCAGCTGACGTTCTGTGATGAGCAGATTACTGGGATACTGGGAATATTTTTAATTCATTCAGGTACACCACATAAGACATGAACGTGCGTCATGAACCTTCTTTAGCTGTGCAATGGAAAAGCGTAATTGCCAAAAGGGTTTTTTTTGTTTGTGCGTTCCAGCAGGGGCGCAGAAGTGTGTGCGTTTTCATTTGTTTTAAGTTTCAGGAATAAATGATAGGAACTAGGCCGAACTAAATGTTTCCTAAATGTCTAAAAGAAAGTGGGCTTTAGTACATAAAAATGTGAGTTTTTGGTTTTGTCAAAATAGCACAAACAAGAATCACTTGACATTATGATGCAACATTTATTATTTAAGGATTTTCTGAACTCTGAAAGAATGACTTTTTTTGTTTTGCATCGCCGGATAACCGATATGTCTCGATTATTTTTTCTTCTGCCATTCCAAAAAGAGTGACACGAACAGAAAAGATGCGTTCTCTCCGTTGCCTGTCGTGCCTACGCCGCCTCCTTGCAACAATGACCGCAGCCATCTGTGCGCACGGCTGTGCCAGGTAGCCTAAGACTTGACTCTCAAACGTGCTAAATATAGACGCAAAAATAATCAGCGCAATTAGTTTGAGGTTTGGTAAATCTCATTGTGTGCGCAAAATGATTCTATTTGCATCTACTCCTTCCAATATTTTGCGCGTTCTGGCAGGCACGCCTATATTGCATATTCATGAAGGCAGAAGCGCAAAATGGATAGCGCCTGTTATTTTGCCTGACTGACAGACGCGATCCTCGGTGCGCCCGGTTGGTAGATCAGCATCAGCATGTGTTTGCGCGTGCTGTCGCTTTTGCGCACGTTTTTACGCACGCAAAGCTTTAGTAAATCAAGCCCATAGTGTATACATGAGATGAAACTCAGTTGAATACAGGGAATCTTGGAATCATTGGACAGGAGAAATGCAGCTTTGCAAAGCCAGCTCACATATTTTATCTTATTTTTTAAGATGTCAAGGCTCACTCACTGGCCTGTCACTGGTGTTTGTTTCTGATGTTCAAACTGGAGGACAGAATGTTCTGGAAAAATGTTTTTTGTTTTTGTTTTTTTTTTTGGTAAAGTCTGTTTGCATGAAACATTTCACACAGTGTAGTCTGTAAGTGTTTAGAACAGTGGCACACAACAATGTGGGACTCATGGCCTTGTTTATGCAAAGTCACATAGCTTTAGGACAGTCCAGCAGAACAATGACAGGCCAACAATCCCAACATTGTTCAAACAGTACTGTATGGATGCAAATGGCCTCACACTAAAACTATGAAATTTAAACTGCTACTCTTTGTCAGATCCTGTGTTTTGGAGACCAGAGACAAAACAAAAATACATATGTACGCATAACCAAGCACACAGAACCAAGCACTTATAGACTGCACACAACTCCCCATACTGTCAGGCTTTTAGCTGCTGGATTCAGTGGATGTTGTTGGGAAAATTAACTTGACAAGCTTTGGGCTGGCTTTGTGAGGCTGCCAGATTATTCTGCTCCATCAATTCACTGTTAATAATTGAAAAAATGGAAAACAACTTAAAAGGAGTGTGATGAATCCTGGCAGGTAGTTTGGTTGCCCACTGGTTTCAATATTTGCTGAATTCATCTTAGCTTTTCCATGAATATGACCATTTCTCTCATCCCTCTGGCATTTCCATTTTCCACTTCACAGAAAGAGAAAACAAGGCACTTTGTTCTCTTATCTGTTCATGTTTTATGTTTTTTTCTGTCGGACGCAGGACGCACTTCAACAGAGATGTCCCCTAAATGTGGAGCAGAAGTAGAAATTCAATTGAAAAAAACCTAAATAATCCGCTGTGAGCCGCTGCTATAGTGACGTGATGCATATCATCTCATCTGTTAAGTCCTCCTCGCATTTCATAGCCATGTACGGCTCCTCATCGCTGTAGTCACGGATACTGCAGTCACGGATACTGCAGTCTCTAAAATGTGTGGCGGCATGTGGGTCTGAGGTGACGTTCCCTGCCCCCCCATTGTTGCCATTACCCGTACACCCATTCAGAAGATTACTAGCAGCACTCTCCATCTCGTCAATGGTCATCTCACAGGCATCCGCAATCTCATGTTTGGTCGCTGACACAAACTTGGGGTCTCTGGCGTATTTCCCCAGACCCTCAGAGATCAATACCTGAGAACCACAAGAAAAAAATCATCACAGCTGAAAACTGGTGAAATGACAAGAATGATTTTATCAGTAAGCTTACATAAGGCATCACCTGTCAGAATCTGTCAGCATCAGGAACAATTGTTACTTTTTAAACCGTGTGTGCATGTAGATGTGGGTGTTGAGTCAGTGTGTGCACACAGGACTAGCTGTTGTTAATTTGGAAATCATAGTGAAAACCTGAATGAGGGAATTCAGGTAACTGAGTACTGTGCTCGTGGCTACTCTGTAGGTGAGCATGAGTGACTGGAATGAATATGAACTCAATTTATACTTTGGGTTTTTTTCAAGGCAGTTCAAAACTAAGAAATGTTCAAATAAAATGCGGATTTTGGCAACAGGAGAGTGCTCAGTATTTGACATTTGACATGTATTCAGTTAAACAATCAATCAAAACAGTTATTAACTACAAGGGCACTCAGAGAGTGCAGCCAAGCCCATTGTCAAACAATACACACCAGACTTCAGAGAAATGATCCAGATCTGCCCCAAAATGTGGGCATTACGCCATAATCCTCCTGACAAACAAACAAACGTACACAGGTGAAAACATAACCTCCTAATGTATACTCACAGCCTCCACCAGACTGTTGGCACTGCCTCTCTTCTGCAAGAAGTGTGTGCAGCTCTCTGCAGGTAGCTGCAGACGTGATGGAGAGTGGCTGCGGGTGGGAGGGCCATCCTGGCCTTCTGTGTACCATGAGCTCCTCTTCACTGCTCTAGGGATGCTGCCAACACTGCCAGGACTGCTCCAGTCCACCTAAGTACATACACACACACACACACACACACCAACAGAGACACAAATTTATTACTGGTATTAGATTGATTTATTATAACGAAGTTGATTCATTGATTGATATTGGTCAGCAAAAGGTTGATCAATAGAAAGAAATTACAAATAATTCCTTGGTGGGAAAATTATAAAGAAAATTAACAGTAAGCCAGTTGTATCTTTGGTATTTCTTACTAAACCAGTCTTACAATAGACAAAAATCAGCAGATTTTTTAACAGAAGTTTGGTCCAGTTCAAAGCAACACAAATAGTCCCCATCTAATTCTATTGATGGCAGCACTAAAGAAAAAGGGCTTAGACCTGTATCAGCGGTGTGTAGCAGGGCGAGCAGTCCAGGCTAATGGGTGAAGCAGGAGGCGTGGCCCAGGAGCACAGCGACCTCGTTGGAGACAGATGGTGAATTCTGCTAACATCGAGACCAGCCACAGCCATTACCTGATGTTGGAGTTCAAAGAACATGATGATAAAGAAGACTCAATGAAAGTGGACATTTTGGGTTGTTGTTGGTATTCATAAACAGAAGGAGGAACCTGTTGCTGCACCAGGTGTAGTGGAAGAGCTGTGCAGGATGGAGAGGGAGGAGCATCATCCTGACTACTTCTTCTGCGGAGACACTCAAAACTAAATGTTGGTCTGTTGGAGGCTGAGAGAAACAAAAAATGTTCAAACTTTCAATTTTCAACTCTGGTTACATAAAGAACAATTATATTATTGAGGAGCACATTGGATGAAATATTAGAAAACCTAATTCTATTCACAATCTAACAATCTATTCACAATCATATATATATACAGCTTGTTTGGTCAAAATTGTGCAATCACCTAGCATCAGCCCAGTTTACTGATATGTGCAATAAATCTTTGTAACTGAGCTCCAAAGAGCTCCATCAAACATCCAACTGAAAAAATATTTTCATCTGAATAACATAATAACAATATCAAGTCATCACTGACTCACATTAACTCTGACAATATCAGAGAAACTCAATCACTTTAAGGTGGCTAAAAAAAATAAAAAAAATAAATACAGTTGTTGTACTGTGCCATCTAACCTTGAGGTGAGGGTAACAACCATCTCCTGGGTAACCGCCTGCTGTCTTGGCAGATCAGCTGTTGATCATCATCATAGTAACTATCAGGCTGGTGGTTGCCCCCAGAAACCTCAAGGTCAAAGTCTCTTTCTGCATCAAGTTGGTCCTTGTTGCTCAACCTGTGAAACAAACACTTTACATCTATACAAGAACTTTTTTATTAAAGTTATCTAGCCAAAGGAATTCTTTGCAGTGTTGTTAAAAAAAGATTTAACTATGTGACTTTTAGATAATGAATACAAAGACAAAAGGATAAGATAAAGACATGGTCAGAGGCGTATTAAAGTGTTCACTGTTTGGCAGTTTTGATTTTAATCTTTCCTCAGATCAAGTTTGACTGACAGCTGCTGCTGCTGTACTGTCATGGTTTGCCATGGCAGACACTTTTTGTTAGTTTGTTTGGACTTTTGTCACTTCCTGTTTTATTTTGTAATTGGTTTCCTTGTGTGTCTCAATGTTTTTACTTCCTGTCTTGGTCCTGTTTCTGTGTGGTGATTGTCTGCCCCACCCTAATGTGTTTCACCTGTGTTCAATCACCCTTGCCTCCCTTGTGTCTATATAGTCTTTGTGCTCCCCTTTGTCTGTGTCAGTTCGTCTGTTGATCTCTGGGTTTGTCTTCATCTGTTCGTGTTGCTTGTTCATGTGTGGTTGGTCCCTGGGCTGTTCATGTCTGGTTTGTCCTCAGTTTGTTCATGTCTGGTTTGTCCTTGGTCTGTTCATGTTGCCGGTGGTTTAAGTTCTTGTTTTTCCCTGTGCTTCCCCTGTGTTTCCCTGTGCTACACCAGTGTGGTGTAAGCTCTTTGTTTAATAAACATTTTGCACCATCTCCCCTGTGTTGGCTGCATTTTGGGTCCAGCCTTACCTGCATAGTGACAGATCCTGACATGTACCTGTTCTTTGTGAGCATGATGTCGTCTTCATGAAACTCCTCTCCGCTGTAGTACTCTCCTGAGCCTCGCTCATCATCGCTGTCCACGCCCCCCGGCTCCTGTTGACAAATGGTGGGGTAAAGTCCACCACCACTTTCTGACCTGAAATTAAAATGTCAACATAGAAGGGGTCATATACAGATCATTGCAGATTTGACAATCATAAATACAGTATGTAAGAATTAGATGTTGTGGGAAATGAACAGCTAAGATTAAGGAAGAATGTATTGATCTATTTTCACTGTATGGGTCTCAGTGTAAGGATGTCACATGAGAGCCAGCTGAGAAGTTAACATCAAAGGGAAAGTTCTGTTGCATAATCATGTAATTCCTTCGTAGTATTGGGAACAGTTTCCATGTAATTCCTTCTTGGTAGTGAAAGTATTGAGTCTACATAATTTTATAAGTAGTCAAAGGCTCAAAAAAAAGAAAAAGAAAAGAAAAGGGAAACTAGAAAATTAAAGTAACATCACTGTAATATCACTCTCAAATTAAATCGAAGGCTACTGGACTTGTATTTGTCTGTGGAAGACGTTTCGCCTCTTATCCAAGCGGCTTACTGATGAAGCCGCTTGGATAAGAGGCAAAACGTCTTCCACAGACAAATACAAGTCCAGTAGCCTTCGATTTAATTTGAGAGAGAGATAACAATGACCTGGACGAATGAGAACATTCACAGACATCACTGTAATACAATAACGCAAGAGATTGTTGAAAGAAGTTTGAAATGTGTACGCAATTATGTACTGTTGCAAATCCTATCATTAAGTCCAACTGAAATACCATGGGTGTATGAGTGAGACGAATAAAAAGTAATTGAATAGAAACACAAACAACATACAAAATAAACTTTGTGGGGACTCATTCAGTGTCTAGTATACATTCTGCATACTACAGGGGTGCATTTCTGCGAACGAATGAGTCATACAAACCACCTGGCTGAAGTGAGCAACCCTTGATAAGATCCAACCATACACTTATTTGAAAAGATCAGAGTGATTGAGTTTTGTGTTAATGATATGCTCATTGAGAGTAGAAGCACATATGTCCCAGTAAATCAGTGGAAACCAGGACACAACACAGGAAACAAAACGGGGGAATTAGAGTCCTTACCTGACCCTCTTACAGACCCTAAAATAATGGCAGATAACGGGTAAAGCATGGTTGAGGATGTTCCGTTCTGGCACCTCATAACCCAGGGAATATTTCCCGTAATAGTGACACTTATCACAGACTATTTAAGAAGGTGTAGAGTAATGTTCGAAGAAAAAGTGCAAGAAAAGAAAGTAGGGAAGAAGATGATAAAATGGCAAGCTTTCCAAAAGTGGGACAGAGAAGCAGAACTGAGAGAAGTGAAATCAATAGTAGGATTAATGCTGAAACAAGAAATAGAAGGAATATGTACAAATGAGAGAAAGGAGAAACAAAAATGTAGGGCAAGGGCTCTACCTCCTCTGTATGCTATCTCCATATCTACAGCCCTGCCTCCAACAACACCACTTGCAGATGCAATGGATAAAATCCCTGCAGCTACACAAACCCAGGAAGACTCAGACAGTGAGCAGACACACCCTACTGGAATCCAGAAGTGCTTGTGTACAGGCCATGGGAAACAGGCAAATTAAAGATTGCAGGAGAACTATGGGACCCCCAAAAGACTGGAGGTGAGAAATGGGTCATAGCAATGCAACAGACACTGTCCATGTATAATCCAACCTTTCAGGAGGTGGAAGCAGTGTGTCGTAGGTGTTTCAAGCTCCAGTGGGACAATATTTGACCTGCCTCTTGATCCTGTATGATGCAGTGTGTGTTGCCAGAGATCCACAACATTAAACAGAAGGAAGGCTGCTGACTATCATACTCATATGGAAACTGTCTTTGCAGCTCACTCCGGCATCGACCCAGACAATGAGGAATACAGTGACCTGTTGAAGACTGCTTTGGTGAATGGTCTCCATCTTCACTTTAAGAACCGTGTCATGGCTACATGTGTGGGCTGGGAAACTGAGCCCATAACAACTGTCTGGACAGATATCTTGCAAGCGGAAAGGATTAAGGTTGATTTGGATTTCAAACAGACCAAAGGACTCCAAACTGCTCAGTTAATGTTCTATCAGCAGGGTGGGCCACAGAGCCCTGGACCAAGATGGCAGTCCTACCAGAACAACATTACAGGGTATGATAAAGGAAGGAGGAGACTGGGACCACAGCCCAGGCTTCAGAGAGGATCTCACAATACTGATCAAAACAAACAGAGGTGCTACAGATGTGAAGGCTTATGGGCATATATCTCGTGACTGTCCCACTCCTGAGCCTAACCAACAAGAAGAACAAGATCCAGGTGAATCCTGGCCACACAGACCACTTGAAGGACTGTCTGGTCATTCACCAGGATTCCAGGAGACACAACCATAGGAGACAGCGCAGGCTAGTCAGAGCATTGAGCAGTACACAGACACAAACACACAAGTAGACGTAAATAATGACACTGAAGAACCAGTTAGCACATACCAACAATATGTACAGTTAACACCAGACTTTCTCTGTGATCCAATCTAAAGTGCTACTAAATTGTGGGCTTGTAGCAAGTTAGATTTTGGAAGTATAAAAGGTGCAACTCCTGGTATGTTAAATTCCTGTTGGTTTTCTGTAATTAATTTAACAAAAGCATATTTTAGCATTCCTGTTCATCCTGACTCAAATTTCTGATTTGCTTTCATTTTCAATGGTAAGCCATACATGTGGAATTAATGTCACACTGTTTTCTCTCCAGTCCTACACTATTTCCTATGACTATTGCTTAACACCTGTCATATTGGCAGCCACCATGTGCTAATATGCTTGTTCAGTATGTTAATGACCTTTTAGTGTGTTCCCCCACACAAAAGGATTCTCAAACTGACACAGTGTCTCTGCTCTGTTTTCTAGCAGAAAATGGTCACAAGGTTTCAAAAGACAAGCTGTAACTTGTATCACAATCAGTGCGGTATCTTGACCATATAACCAGTCTGGAAGGTTGTAAATTGGGCCCAGACCGCATCTAAGCAATTTTGCATGATCCCAAACCGCAAACTAAAAAACAAATTATGTGCTTCATGGGCTTAGCATTGCCATCTATGGATTACTAATTTGTGGAGATCTCCCACTGAGTCTAGACTGAAGGTTAACCGCCAGCGTCTCAAGAACAGCCAGCTGAGAAGTTAACATCAAAGGGTCATTGAACTGGAAAAAGGCATGATCAACACCTGAATTTATGACTGATTAAGTCAACCTTGTCATGTGTTAGCAACTGTTGTCCTTTTGTTTACCTGACTGTATATAAGGCAAGACACCCTGATAGTCTTTAGAGAACAACCATGTTAGGGTTTTCTCCCCATTATGCATGAAGTAAAGAGATTTGATTCATCACTTCGCATCTGTAATTCTTCAGAAAGAACAGAAAGAATTTCTCTCACATATTTCCCATCTTTTATCTTTTTTTGCTATTGCTGTCTCTGGAGATTTTTATGCAGATTGTCTCTTTGTTGACAAGAAGGAAGCCCTCACAGATGTGGGCTCGGACCAGCAACACTAGGGCATATGTTCTGGAGTTGCCCTAAGTTATCAAACTACTAGGATAATATTTTTCAGACTCTATCAAATATTTTACACAGACCTATTAATGAAGATCCATTGGTGGTGATTCTAGGAATTATTGATTCAAATATAACAAAAAGCAACACAGAACATAGTATGGTTTCGTTTGTCAGCCTACTTGCACGAAGATTGATATTACTTAACTGGAAACAAAAGGCAGCCCCAACTCATTCAAATCTTATGACAGATGTTATGAGACATTTAGAGCTGGAGAAAATCAGATATCTACTGAAAAATCAGGAAAGAAAGTTCTATAAAATCTGGCAGCCATTTATTGATTATTTTAATCGCAACACATAGCCTGATGGCAAGTTTCAGTTTTTTTAGTTTTAGAAGTGATCTCAACCCCCAACAGATGGAAAGGTGTTTTTTGTTTTTTTTCTTGTGAGTGTATACACGATTATGTGTATATGTGTATGTATGTGTATGTATATGCATATGTGTATATATATATATATATATATATATATATATATATATTTATTTATTATTTTATGTAAAACCCTTTTTTAAGGAACCCCTTTATTTATTTTTTTTTCGTTTTGGGATATATAAGTTAATATAACTTAAATAACTTCTATATGTTATTGTTTACGTGTAAATGTGTATGGTGTCTGTATTACTGTTTGTTTTGTTCTATGTTCAAAATGTGAAAAATCAATAAAGAGAGTTAAAAAAAAAAAAAAAGAAGGAAGCCCTCCCTGCATGATTTGTGACACACCTGCCAAAACAACAGATTGTGATTGTTAAGTGGTAACATGCACATACCTAATGTAGGCCTCGCGGTAGCGTGTCCTGAGAGGAAGAGGAGAGGAAAGGGTCAGTCACACAGACAGGATTATTTGGAATAGGAGAGCAGGGAAGGAAGGACATGAGAGGTTGCATGCAATGACAAAAGCACACAAATTAAAATGCTAAAATAAGACAGAAAAGGTAGAGTCACTGGTTTCATTCTTGCCCCAAGGAATATACAGTATATTTGGCAGAAAGTAGTTCTAAGAAAACCTGTTGACATCAAGGCCTGTCAATGATTAAGAATAATGGGGACATTGTTTCTGGAAGGGTAAGTTGCTTATTTCACATTATTTCAGTCACAAATTCCATCTGCTCTTTATCAGGGTGGTGAAACAAATTTCAGAGACTGATAATCAAAAACCCACCACACAAACAGAAACCATTAGGCTAGATATCACCAAGAAAGAAATTATGTTTTCTTGTAATTTGAACTGTAAAATTGTAGCTATGCCATTTTACTAAAATAGATATGTTAGATGCCAAGGAATGTTAAAAACCATATATTCAATTTAATTTGACAGGATTAGGAAAGAATTACAGGTATATGTAATATCCCAAAGACATTTATTTACTGTTTTTTACATTTGTGTTTCAGGGAAAGCTGAAGTGAGGCAGGTGACCTGAGATGAAGAACTGTGACAACGTTACAGGGATTCCCCATCCTCAGACAGCCGGGGGTCAAACATATTAACAACAAAAATAAACTGAAAATTAACCAAAAAATTATTTTTTACAATAATTGTTCTATAAGCAGTATCAGTTTAGAGACAATACGTTTATAGAGTTCTGCTGTTTCGCTTGAGCTTAGTGGGAGATAAAACAATCTGACCAAAACAAAAAACAACAATCTGCTCGTTGGGAAATCAAATGATATTCATTAGGATGCTCTTTTGCAGTCAGCTTTCAAGCAAATGGGGAAAAATGATGTGGTTCCAGCCTCTGAAATGTGACTATTTGCTGGATTTCTTTGTCGCTTCATGACAGTGAATTGCAGTAAATTGAATACTCTTTGGTTTCTGTCTGTAGGTCAGACGCAAGAAACTTACAGACACTATTTTCTGACATTTTATAGATCAAATGATTAATTGAATAATTGAGAACATAATCAGTTTTACATTAACTGTCTTGACAGTCTGTTTGTAATTTAGAAGACAGTTTAATAAATTGGTAACATCACAAATCAAATAAAAGTCGATATACAATAATACTGAATTCACTGAATTCACTGAGGCTTGCAGTGCAGTAGTCAGCTTGAACAAACTGCTTCTTCACTCATTGTAATTTTGATGTCACTTTTGAATCAACTGTAAAAATGTAAGCATCAAATATGAGATTATACGACTGCCATCTATGAAACAAGAGGGCCCTGTGACTGCTTGGCCCCATGCTATCTACACACATATATACATACATAATAACTGCAATAACAGGAAACTCTTTCTCCACTGACCTTGTGGAGTGTGACCTCCAAGGCTTGTCCTGTGCTCCTTTGCTGCGAGTTATTGCTGATGATCCATTTTTAGTGGAGGACGGACGGTCACGCCTTAACAGACACTTCTGCTGCCTCCCAGTGGTCATGGAGAGAAGCGAGGGCACATTGGCATTGTTGAGGTTGGCATTGGAGGGTATTGGCGACTGATGGCAAGTGGAATTACAGTGAGGGTAATTATACGGATGAGGGGAATGATAATGATGATTATACTGGATGGGTGGAGAGTTAATCTCTGTCTCTCCTTCCCTATAATTGCTGCTGGCTCTCCTGCCAATTTGGGGGGGTTCAGTCGAGGAGTTGCAGGAGAAGGGCAGGATTTGCAGTGGGCGTTTGGTGACGGTGGTCGGGTGAGAGGAGCCTTGCTGATCGCCACCAACATGGTTCACATGGTTGCCAAACAAACCACCATTACGCTGCAGAGAGACAGGAATATCCTGACATTGATTTAAATATCCTCTATCTCTCTTTATCCAATTTCATGATGTAGATAAAAAAGCTGCGTTTATCCTTTTTATGTATCCTCTCTGTTGCTGAGTCAAAAGCAGAGAAAGACATACTGGGCATAAATATTTCAATGTAGGTGAATTAACATTGTTGCTGTGATTAGCTAAGAAACAAGTCTCTCCCTGTTGCTTTGATTCACCATTTTTGATTCACACATATAATGAAATTTGTGTAATGTGTACAGAACTACATGTCTTGATCAAAATTAGAAATCGGTGCACTTTTATATATTCTGGATTAAAAGTGTAGATATGTCATTTTAATTTTAACAAGGTAAATGTTTTTTGTGACAAAACCACATCAGAGACGAATCATTATTCAAAACAGAGTATTTTTATGACTGATCTTTATGGATGTTTACCCTGTAAATTTCCGCCTCTTCTTCTCCATTAGGATCTACTAGCCCCTCCTCCTGCAGGTCACAAGATATGGCTCGACGGATCTCTGGTCCGATGTCATGCAGCGTGCGCAGGCCGGCCTGCAAAGAGAGCGCTGATGAGTTATAGATTTAAAGCCTGTGATGGCTTTTAATCTATATTTGTATCTGGTTAAGAGAAAACTGGTGTGAACATGTCTCCAACAGTGACTACAGAGTGATTCATGGACACTGCTAACATGGCTTTAAAGTTAGCCAGATTCACAGGATAAAAGCATGACAAGAAGAACAATTTTAATGAGTCATTTAACTCAAATGACTCTGATCACTGGCTGCTGTCGTCATGGTTAGAAAGCGGTTACAATGTGGATCATCCAGAGTAACTGGAAGATGTTTTGCTGAGAGAGGTGTTGCTCTGTAATGTTTGTAATCTGAATTTTCAATGCTGCGAGCACCACAGAAGAATTTTTTTTTACCTTCATTGTACTGGCAGAGATGGAAATTGACATCTCAGAAGGTGGACAAATTAAATAAACTGTTTGTGGGCTTCATAACAGTAGATGTAGGTGACAAAATATCTTAGTTTGTAATTTTTTTGGGTGAACCAACCTTTTCAATTCCATTCAATTGGGAATGAGGTTAAAGTAGTAGTCTCTAACAACAAAACTCTTAATAAACTGAAAATGCCTGAGGGCTTTTTTAGGGCGGTCTGAGAAAAGAATAACTGACATTGAATGTCAGAGGATCCATGACTGTACTGAGTTTTATGATGATAATAGTTTGACTTTGTGTGATGTGGTTATTAAAATCTAGATGGGAGTCTATGATTAAACCAATATTTCTAATTTTATTTAGATTTTTCATGCACAGACTTGATATAATGGCTGAGTTTCAATAGCACAGAGGATTATCTCAGGATTGGCTCTTATTTAGATGAAGATGAAGGTGGAGTAAATCTATTGGACTGATGCACTGTACTTTACTCACTTGTAAAGCCATGGTGGTGTTCAGCCTCTCCCATGAGTGCCGTCCCATAAGACCTTGCTCTTTGCGCCTCTTGAACTTCCTGAAGTAGTCCTGTATAAGGAAGGTGGCATAGAACTTCCCCACTGTTACCTCGTCATCTGAGTGAACAGACCAGACACAACAAAGCCTCCCAGATCAAAACCAAATCTGGACCTGAATACCACAATAACAAAATACCTCAGCAACCAATTCTTTATGTATCCATCACATTTAAACAAGAAAATCTCTCAACTGAGATCTCACCCATTACTATCACACCACCTATGCCAACAGAAACCCATGTATGGAAGAAAAAGTCAAATTGCACTAAACTGAAGTCCATTACAGATTTTCTGAATTGCTAAAACACTGAATTCTAAAATTGTCTGAAACAAATCCTCAGTGGTCTCAACTCAAAACCATAAACAATTTTCACCTCGTTAAAAACAAGTTTTAGATCTCATTTCAACTTTTTGCAAAACTCTTTTCACACACATTTTCACTAACTGAAACACACTATGCATTGTGATGCACTATGATGCATAATGGTAAGCACAAGTAGCAGAAGTTAAACACAGTTTCAGCACAGATGTCATAGCTTACACACAACTGAAAACTTTTCACACTTTTTGTTAATGATGTTATGAAAGCAGTATAAACCAGTTCAGAGTGCACAGGTTGTTGAGTGTTGGAGTTTGAAAGAAACAATGGATGAAAATAATCTGAGAAGTAGAGGAGGAGGAGGAGGAGAAGGATGAGGAAAACCAAGACCAAGACCAGGATCAAGACCAAGACCAAGACCAAGACCAAGACCAAGACCAAGACCAAGACCAAGACCAGAAACAGTCATTTCAGATGAAATTTGTGCAATTTTATGTTTCCCCTAGCAGCATTTGTGTTTTGGTCTGCATTTTGGTCCAGCCTTACATAAAACTGTGACAGCAACTGTAAAAGACCATGTTCTTGTTTATGTAAAATAGTTTTTCACTATTGCAAAAACACAGTTCCAGAAACTAGGGCCCTGTTTGTCAGAGCTCCACACACACAAACCAATGCCATATACACAAAATACAAAACATGTTACATCTCTTGCAAAAGCAAGCACTACATCAAAAACGATATAAACTCTTCTAAAAATGATACTTTAGCTTCCAAACTTTACATACAAACAGCAAATATATAGATCTTTCCACTACCAACTGCACATGAATGCTAAATCTAAAACATTTTTCACATTACTACTTTTCTAATGATATATGGTAAGTATAAAAACACTAATACTGTATGTTTTTGATATTTCTCATTTGTAGCATGCAAATATGAACACAAATGCAATGGGGAAACAAAATCTCTTTATTCTCAATAGTGAACTGAAGATTACATGAACATACTGTACTGTAAAATACAGTAGGCCTATACAGTATTGCAGTTACTGTCTATCCTGTCTCTGATCTCATCTGTAAGAATTGTCCTATTTCCGCTGACCCATCCTTTCGCCACTCCCTGTCCTGTGTCCTCTTGCTCTTCTTCCTCATACTTAGACACCTCCACCTTCCTCTAATTCTTTCCAAAATTGTCCTCCATTGTTGGTCACACCAAAGAGCAAACCTATGGTGATCAAGCTGTGATTTCTGTGTGACCTGATTGTGTGTGTCTTCACATGTGCATTCTGAGTTCAGGTGATTGCTAACTGAGTGGGATGTTTCAGTGGCAGTGTTTAGCAAATAACACACAAAGGCTTTCATTTTGAATGATTTGTCTAATGTACAGAAGTGTATTTGGTGTTTTGCAAAACACTGTGTAGTGTTTTTCAAAAAGTGTGAGTCTGAGAATGTGTATATAGTTGTGCAAATCTGGGCTGACATTTTGCTCTTTGTCGTATTTCAAAATCTGAATTATTTTTAATTTTAGTGTGTAAGCAATCGTAAAACCTGTAACAGTGAGTGAAGCAGGACAAAGAGTCCAACCCTCTGTAGCATTATAATCATGAGGTTCAAAGAAGAAATTTGGTATGTATGTACACACCAGTTAAGAAAATATAAAATGCCTTTTCTCTATTTTAAAAAATAAACATTTCTGGAGCTATATGCTCTGAACACTGTTTTCCATTTTTCTCTGCAGTGTGTAATGGATGATCAGTAGTGTTTTTATTTCAATTGATTTGAGTCTGATCTGAAAACAGTTTTATCTGTGCTCCAAGCACAGATAAAACTTTTGAGGTTATTTTGCAAGAAGAGTCAGAGCTTTGGTCAATGTAGTTTGACAACTGGGTTTTGTGTTTACAGTTTTGAGAAAAGCATGGAAGGTTTCAAAATGTTTGTTTTAGCATTGTGAAAAAGTGTAACAGTAAAATATCACACACAATAATGAAGCACAACCACTGAAGACAACAATATCTCAACATTGAAACAAAATACTTCTATAACAATCAAAGTGAAAAGAATACCAAGACATGTTAGTTAACAAAGTGCCATAAATCCTCACTGCACCAGCATTATCATACATGCACAGAGCTGGAAACAAAACAGAGCAGGACACACACCACTGCCCTGTAAACTAAGCTGGTTTCTCAAGAGATCATCAGAGAAACTGTCGTCTTAATGGCTTATCTGGAAGTAGAACTTGTGTGTCACTGGGTAATGGGTCAGGCCCTGAGTTATTGCTGTGTTGACACAGCGCAGAGGGTGGTTAAACTCCCTTTTAATCTTCACTTTAGGAATTAAACAAAGGTGTAGCTGTATGGTATTCATGGCGCTGTTTAAATATCAGACCTTAATGCGTGCAAAGTGGGTACGCTTGCTCTATTGACAGAGCTGAATGTCAAACATCAGCAAGAATCTTGTACACACACACACATCCACACACAAAGGCAAACACATTTAAACCAACAATAGATAATATCTGTGTCTGCAACTTTAATCTTGCTTCATCTATGAAAATACATGCAGTTATGAAACATCCCTCTTGCACACAAAAAGACAAAAACACTCATGCACATTCAGCTGCTCATGCAAGCAAGTGTATGAACTCTCTTGACCACATATATCTTAATGTACCAAAAACTGTTTATCTCACAGTATTTTATGACTGCAGTGAATACTTCCAATTCCAATAAATCTAACCAATTCCTACCACAAACGGCCACATTTACCATCAGAGACAGACGAGCAGAGGTATATGTATCCCAGAAAAACAACATGATTTGTAGCAAGAAGCACATGCAAGGAGGCAGCAAAGTAAAAGAGTTTGGAGAAGCAGCAAGGGTCAAACCTGCAGCTCCCTTTACGAGAGAGGAGACCGAAACTACATTTAGCCAGAGAGGAAGCTGCAACTACACACACTATCTGCCATGCAGGGAGGCTGATCAAGCGTGGGTCTGACTCACTCAGATTAAGTGGTTTTCTGAAGCACTGGGGAGGGAGACTTAACAAGAAAAAAGGAGGCTGAATTGTGGGGTGTATGAAATGTGTTTTTTTTCTTTTGTCGCTAGCTTTCCTTGAACAATTTTAGCTGGAGAGGAATCAAGTAAAGGTGACAAATGACAGTGGGGTGGTTGCTTAAAGATGGAGGCATAATTCTCTCAAGTGGATCAATGAATGATGATCCATCTTCAAGCACTTAACCCGTCTCTCTACATCACCCAACACAGTAAGAGAAGAGAAACTATGAAAGTCTCTGTTCAGAAAGAAAACCTGTGACAGAGAGCATATTAAACATGGTAAAATTTGATTTTTTGTTGGTTTGGTAAATCATATTTATTTGGATTTGGATTTTCAGGATTTATGTTTTGAAGCAAGTGATCAGTCTCATTTTGACATATTTTATTATATTAAAACTCCCTAGAGCCAGTCACATTTTAGGACTGTGTTTAACAGATCCACTTGATGAGATGTTGAGATTTTATTTTACTTAATGATGCATCAAAACAATTCTGCTGATTCTTTTTCTGGACAGAGACTGATGAAGTTTTTAAGAGAGGTATCAGTAGTTTCATGCCACCAGACTAAAACAGAACTGCTCCAGAGACCTCAGGACGGCAGAAAGAGAAGAGAAGAAGGCCAGCAACTGACTGAACACTCTACTGAAAGTAGGCACAGCTGTGGAAGAGAGAGGGACTTACAGGATTACAAGAGAGAGAGAGAGAGAGAGAGAGAGAGAGAGAGAGAGAGAGAGAGAGAGAGAGAGAGAAAGAGAGAAATTAGCAAACTAATGCACACATGCAGCTGAATTATATCTGACAAGCTCTAAAAACATAGCATAGCTGAAGCATAGTAGAAGCGTGGGACGACATTGGAAAAACTACATGGATCCAGGTAGAGGAAGCTCTGTGTAGACTGCAGGTACATTCACACTTATTTGGGAATTCATTCAAAGACTAAGATGTGCCTGTCATCTATTAATAAAAATCCTCTTTGTATAAAGAGAAATTATCATCTCAAAGCATCGACCCCTAATGACTCAACCCACAGTTGTATGGCTGTAAAAAAGGAGGATGTGGAAGTTGACATCTAGTAATAATGTCCTGTTTGGAAAGCTTTGCCTGACTGAGGGGAAACCACACTCTGGCTTTACTGTATGCTCATATTAAGTAGCAGACACATGCATCATGCTGAGCTGATGTGGCTGGAACGGGAATCACATTTGTTTTGGCTCACTATGACTTCAAACCTTTGATGTAGGACATTCTCGAAATTAAATAACCAATGAATAAGAACACCTGTCTGCAAAAAAATTATATCATCATGTATATAAAACATAAAAAAAGCAAATTTGACTGCATATGGACAAAAAGATTAAAGTTACTTAAAAGCCACTCTTCATTGTGAGCAACAAAAGTTGACAAAAATGTGTTCTCTCCAACTGCACTACACAGTCAGAAATACTGTAAGAGCAGCCCTGAATAATTTAATATCTACAAATATGGCACATATGAATGGCATATCTTGGCTTTCACCTTGATATCTGATGCATGCAAATAAAGTGGTTCAAAAAGGAAGTACACTCCAAACCTGACTTAACCAAAGTCACACAACAAAGTCACTTACACCTAGTTTAATGTCTTTGTGGGAAAAAAATCCATAGCAAAGTAAGCTCTTCCAACTAAAATCCAGTGGGTTTCTAGATGATTGTAAGAATGAGGCCTCAGCACAGAGAGAAAAGACTTTGTAAACAACATATAAACACATCAGCACTTATTTTCAAATATTTAGTGTTTTTGAGCGTTTTTCAATGAGTAAAATACAGTATATTGAGTAGCTAGAGGAAGAGAAACTGAAGAACTTTAGACAGCGAGATCAATGATAAACAAAACAGTGGGATTATGACAGAGACAGCAGTTAAACTGTGTCTGCCTGACAGCGATAAGAAGAGTTTCTTTGAACTGAAGTGAAAGGAAATGGTAGCAGTCAAGCTTGTTCCCCTGCCTATCTCATCTTGTTGGTTGTGGTCAGGAAGTGGATCTTGCTGTTTGAGAAAAGCAAAAACAGGATGCTGAAGGTTTCTGATGGATTAACATTTGCATATCTTCTTGAAGTGACACGCCTTCCTGAATCTATCTTTTGTGTATTAAACATTTCCACTCGATTTAATTTGAAAGGTGGTTCCAAAACGTTTGTTAAAAGTTGTTGATTGTTCCGTTGCAGCAGGAAACATTGTAACAGACATGAATAAAAACAGCCATAGCGTCTGCATCTCTGTGGAAGAAAATAATCAATAAAGCCCCCTTTTAAAGCCAGGTGAATGCTTCATAGACCAAAAGACACGCAGATTTTTTTCTATTGTCACACCAAAATATATTTTAAATGAAATATCACAGATCAGCCTTTCTTCCATCAAAAAGTGGTGTGATTCCTTGATGATGAACAGTAAATGGTGGGAGAGCAAATCCATGAGACTACATCCTGAAGTGTGAAAAAAATAACAAAGCAAAAATCATTGACTTCTTTTTCTGTTCAAAATAAAGGAATAGTAAAATTGCATTCAAATGCATGTCCGTTGTTTGACACTCTTCCTCCTATGAATACACATAAGCACAAATGTAGATTTGTTTGCAGTGTGACTTCCTTCTCTCTTAATGCAAATGCTGCACTAACAGAGACCAGATGTAAATTAATGTGTCATGATATTAGGACTCTAGCGCTTGTTGTCCCTTATACTATGCCTGTCATTTTTCCTGGTTAACATATGAGGTAACTATTATTAATTCTTTGGAAAATGCTAATGAGAGGCAGCTTTTTATTCAAATCAAGTGAGCCCGAGAGCAGCGCAGAGACAGAGAGGGACACAGTGAGGCCACTGAATCGTGGATGATAGTGAGCAGCGCATGATGATGATGTAATGACCACTGACCGCCTGCAGGGGGCACAACTTGGTCCAGCAGCTTCATGCTGGTCCTCTTCCAGATCTTCTTGATCACAGCTCTAAGCTCCTCATTGGCTTGCTCCAGGTTCCCTTGGAAATGAGAGAAAATGTGAAAAGTAGAACTTTAAGATTATTTTGGTTGAAAGCAACCAGTAAGTGATCAGTATGCTGTTGTATTAAGTGGCATGTGGCGGAATCTATTGCTCTCTGTCACCCATGCACACAATGACACAAGATTAACCAAATTTTGACATTTAAAGTTATGATGAATTGCACAATTCCTGGTGATAAATAATTAAAACAGGAAAAAACAACCCCAGTCTTATATCACTAAATCATGCTGATGCAACATCAGAAACTGAGGAGAAATTACTTATTGCTAAGCATACTAAGTATATTAGAGCCCTGACCACAACAACTTCAAGACTCTGACCCACCTCTGAATAAGGGACTATTATATTAAAAGTTAAAGCAGCATGACGTGACATTCATTCAAAACGCACTGAGACGTCCCAGCCAAGCCTTGGTCAGTAATTCTGAAAAAGCACATGTTTTCTCAGTGCAGATTTATGTCAACAGTGTTTGATGTCTTGGCATGTTTGGTTTCATTCTATTCATGCCTCTATCCTGACTGATGAATTTATTTCTTTTGTCAGTTTAGTTCACCACTGTAAAGGTCCGCATTTTTTTCTGCCTATGTGGTAGCAGACTACAGTATGGGGCATGTTTGCTTGCTTGCCTCTGTTCATGATCTCTAGAGTCATTATGGATCATGGGTGAATAACTGACCAAATAACTAAAACATTGATCACATCTTAAATGACTTTTGTGCCTGGACTTAAAATTCAATGTATTTCATACTGTTCTGTTTTTGCTGCACCGAATGGCAATGCACAGCTGCATGCATTTGAAGACTCACCCTCAGTCTTAATCTTGAGAGCAGTTCGGACCAGAGCAAACAAAGTGGCATTAAACATGACAGTGCCATCACTGTTCAGGGGCATGTTCATTGCCACCAGACGCTGAAAGAAAATTCAAAGTACAGATTAACAAGGAGGTAGCCTATTGAATGTAAAATTTGTATTTTTGTGATGATCATAATCATGTCTCTTTCTGTATAGGTGTGAGTGTGTCGCTGAGTTGTGGAAAACCCACCTTACACGCCACCCTGTGAGGGCAGAGCTTGCCAAAGCCCAGCGGAGGTTGGATCCTCCTTAGCAGAGTCACAACATCAAGGTGCTTTATCCTGCCCCTGAAAACAAGATACATTCAAATGAAAGATGTTATGCCACTAAGCACATTTCCACCACCACTGCATGTCTTGATAAGTACTGGATAATGAGTCAGTGTACTTCAAAACTGTCAAAAAACAATCACCAACCCAATCACTCAAATGATGTGCTGGCAACAAGTGGCAGCAAGTCCGCTTAGCTCTTAGTTTTTTCTGCAATATATTTGTATATAGGCTATAAGTATATTTTTTGTATAGTGACTTTTTTTTATTCTACGTCGTTGTTTTGTCTGACGATGGAGAGAATAATGTACACGAAGGAAGAACTCCTGGCTTTAAAGTTTATCAGATATGGAGTTAAACATCCAGTACTGACTAAGCTGAAGAAGCCATACTGTGGATGCAGAGCTGGGGCTAAGCTAAAGGATAGGAGATATAAGCCTTTTCTACCATCGATTCTCATGGGAAATGTCAACTCCCTGGCTAACAAGTGTGATGAACTGGAGGCACCTGTGAAGAACCAGCGAGCACATCGTGAGTGTAGTCTCATGTGTTTCATGGAGACCTGGTTAAACGACAACACTCCCGACCATTGTGTGGATTTACCCGGCTTCACTGCAGTACCAGTGGACAGGAGAAAGCTTTTGTTGATGGGTCCTGAGTACTCACTTGGCTTCAGGGTCGTATTCGGACCAGATCCTTTTAAACTCATCCAGGTGATGTGGGCCAAGAATGGACCAATCACGGGTCAGATAGTCAAAGTTATCCATGATGACAGCCACAAATAGGTTGATGATCTGAAACCAGAGCATGCAACATTTTTTTAACTGTATAGAGGAATGTGAAAGCTGAAGTCTGTGCTCAAACATTACTGGCACTGCACACAGTGTAATGTCTGAAGATTACCAGAAAAGCACAGAGCATGTAGAAGCTGATGAAGTAGATAATGGCGAAACCACTGCCGCAGGTTCTCTCCTCTCCGGGGTTGTAGTCTGACTCTGAATCACACAGCTTCCCTGGCAGACAGGCCAGCATGATCTCTTGCCAGGCCTCACCTGTAGCACACCTAACACAGAACAAGAACAATATTAATACAGCAGCAGAACAAAGGTTTTTTTTACACATATATTATTATATATTATAATGGCTTGTAAACAACAATTTAAGCTACGCAAACAAATACCTGAAGAGCATCAGCACAGCTTGAGGAAAGGTTTGAAAGTTGTTGTTGCGGTTGATTTGTGTTCCATCCACCATGGCTATTTTCCCAAACACCTAAAAGCAGACAAAGAATTGTCATCCAAAGAATCAGTCAGCCCACTCTCACATTCTGGATAAGACAAAAATAAAATGATGATTATGAAACTACAAGAGAAAAAAACTGAAGGCAACACATCCTACAGAGCATTGAGTATGGGATTTGATTTTCAAAAAAATTATTACATTTTACCTGCATTCCGATTACAGCATATATGAAAAACAGCATGGCAATCAGGAGGGCAACATAAGGAAGAGCCTGAGTGGGAAAAAGAGAAAGTCAGTGATGCACATTATCAAACAATTACAGCATGAGAACCACTGATGACAAATTGTTTAGTTAAATCATAGTTTCTTGGTTTACAGATATTAGCACTGTATCACAGAATAACCTGCTAATTTTTCACAAGACAGATGGCTTTGGTGCTACATGTGTGCTGACACAAATGGCAATGGCAAAAAAGGTGAACCTGCCTCATTTTTTCCTGCAACATGAGTCTGATAAGCTTCAAACTCATGGATGATGTATTATTCAAACTGGATTTCCATGTTTTAATTGTACTTGTCCCAACATACTCACACTGTGGCAGCATAGTCTATGCGTTGCACATAATGCACCTTGAACGCACCTTCATGGCCTGATAGCCTATTCGTGAGCAGGGGCCCGTATTTAAGACGGCCCTCTCCCCTGTTCTTCTGCTTTCCACATCACTTCCGGTAAGAAGCCGGCTCCTTTTTAACCACAGCGTGTGTGCAGCTGTGTGTGCTCCCGTTTGGCTGTGGTAAGTGTCCTCTCTCTCTGCGTTGTGGTGTTTGCATTCAGACGGCTAATGCTAGTGTGGTCATAGGAAATGCTGATGTCCGGATCTATCCCTCTCGTCCTCCCTCCTGTATGAGTGTGTGTGCGCGCGCGCATCCACTTCTGCTGAAGATATGTTCTGTCTCTGTTGCAACTGCATCATTTTCGGCTTAATTGAACAGTGCTAACAATATGTTTTGGTTAGGTGAAACCACAGATCGGACTGCTGCTGCTTTGTCTCGGCTCTATTTCCAGCTTGCTTCCCGCTTTTGCTTGCTTTGCTGCTGCTGCTCTGTTGCTTTACCTGCTGCTTGGGTGGCGTTTCGATTGTGATGCTATTGGCTTTTCAAAATAAGACTTGTTGCTGCAGTCTACCTGAAGCCGTCAGGTTTCCCACAGCACTTCTGCATGGCATTGCTACGCATGCTTGGACTGAGCTTGATTTCCCCTTTTACTGATTTAATTGTATGAGTGAGGTGTGGGTTGTATAAATTAAATTTGGGTTAAGTACGTAGGTTATTAATTTTTTTTGTTTCTTTTCTTTGGGTTCCTTTGATTAGTGTCAACTTGATTTTCTTTGTTTTTCTTGTGTTAAATTATATTTTGAATTGTGTATTTTCTTTGAATTAGGTATTTTGCTTTGATTTCTATTGGGCAGTTATCGTTTGGATATTTAGGTTTTTTAGTTCTTTGTACATCTGTTTTCTAGGTTTAACCTGCCCATTAATTGTTTATTCCTTTTGTTCTGAGTTGCAACTCCCCTAATGATATTTTATCCCTGTTTCAGTTGTCGGAGGCCGGTGGTGGTGTAGGTGACTGGTGGTGGTGTCCCCTCATTTGATGTGCTGTGCTCCCTGGTGTTGGTTACTTCAAAGTGTGTGTGGGTGATTTATTTCTATTTATTTTGGGTGAACCACTCCCCGTTCACTAATACCTGGTAAGCCTCTGCTCCTGACTAGTTGTCCTTTTTGTGTGAATGATTTTGATTATTTATTTTAACTGATTACAATAAGATATATTTTTTATACCTTGAACCACGTCTTGTGCCAAGTGAATAGAGCGAACCTGTGTGTGTCTAGTAGTTAAAACCAAAATTCCCAGGGTAGCATTGTTGGGCAACAGTGTAAATTTCTCAATCATATTTGACAGTTAGTGTAAGCATCCACCCTACCTGTGCCACAACACCAACTGAGCAACTTGTGTTTTCTCAATGCTGTGCTAATTTCTTAAAGGTGCAATGTGTTAGATCTGGCCAGAACATTAGTTTATAATTTTCAAAAAAATAAACTAACACTATCAACAGTATGTGAAGGAGCCACAGTGATGTCATGACCAAGACCTCCATCTGTTGTATTTCAGAGATGTCTGTTGAAATTAGCATGCTAACTAGCTAGCCCCTACCCATCCCATGTTGCAATACTAGATATTATTAGATATGACACCAGATGCTGCGCGTCAGTGCAGCATGTAGTCTGCCCTCAGTCCCACAAAGAACAGCTTCCTCTAGAGCTTGAAGTTACTCTACAGCTCCCAACTAGCATCACAGCAACACAGAGATGGCTGAAGCGATATTGATGCTGTCGACAGACGTTTTAGTGGTTTAGTAGAATTTAGCCTGTTCCTGTAGCTGTGGTCCACTAGTTACTTCAGTAACTTTTGGCTTATTTTATAATGACTTTACATTAAGAATGGATCCAGTAGACCGAGTGAATACACGTCGATTGGTTCACCATATTGTAACCACCTTACCTTGCCTTCATATTTTTATAGGTAAATAAAAACATTCTGTTTGTATTACATTTACACATAATTTGTTTCAGTGCTATCAACAATTTTAACAATATGAACAATAAAGGCACATATAAATAATAAATTATAGGGAACACGGGGAAAACAACATGATTAACTGGGCGGGGGTGAGGAGGTGAAATGCTGCCCCCTATGGAGGTGGAGCAAGTAGCACAATCTTACACATTACACCTTTTTAAAGCTTCTTTCTTATGTCGTTTTCATGGCTTAAAACTAATTTAACTCGCAAATTGTAATAGCAGATTCAAAAGGTACCTTTACTGGCTGCTTATCCTACGATCTCACCTGGAAGGACTTGATGAATGTCCACAGGAGAGTCCTGATGCCCTCCCCCCTGCTCAGCAGTTTAACCAATCGCATCACCCTGAACAGGCGGAAGAAGGTGATGGAGATGCGAGCGCTGTCTTCTGTGTTCTGAGGTGGAGGAGGTGAGGATTGATTAAAAAAAACAGTGTAACATCAAAACAGACACTGATAAACCTCTGCACAACTATTTCATTCAGTCAGTCAGTCAGTCAGTCATACATGCATTCTTTCAATCTTCATGTAACATTATCTCACAGGCGTGATTAAGTGGTCAAAAATTACTATGATGGAATCTCCTAGTATGTGATTTTTCTGCATCCTTGCAATGACAACAATCACCATGCATGTGGAGTGACTGTGTCTTAAATACCATGCCATTAACAGACCTGGAGGACTTACAAATACGACACATTTAACTCAGAATGACTGATTAAAACAAGCAACATACAAAATGAACAGTCCAAAGACAAACAAACTAAAATGCAAACAGTAATTGTTTTTGGTTTTTTTTACACTTGATACAAACACCAAGATGGATGATTTACTGTCTTGTTGTTATAGTACAAATACACAAGACTTTTAACAAGAAATGTTAATTTAAAATAGTAAAATGACGACATGATTTTGTTTTCTGACTTGGAAAAGCTTTGTTTAAATGAATAAATGACCAAATAAATACCATACAGTGTTACTGTACCCCCTGTGTCATGCCATGCACCCAGACAGGACAAAATGTCAGCTGAATCAAACTGGAGCCAAAATGCAACAAAACAGGTGGATTCAAAACAGGACTTTGACAAACATTGAGAGTTCACTCACAAACCCTCACATTTTACTGAATAAGTGAAACCTGAAGCTCTGGAAGAAAGCATCTCAATGTTTTCATTGGTGAGTGACAGAGAGCGACAACAAAAAGACCTTGATGCTTTAACTTCTGCATTAACACAAAAGGGTGAGGGCTTTAAATGGAGGAGGAGGGGGTTCTTCTTACCCCTGGCTCCACTATCACCTTGAAGACAGGAAGGGCTGCCGACTTGAAACCAAAAGCCTAAGGTTAATCCAAGTTACACAAACCAGCTGCACAGCACCAAAGGGTTCATGAGTCAATGCTGCTGAAAATGTCATCAGGTATCTTTTCCAAAAAGGTTCATCTTGTCTCCACTGAAACTATTTATGCTTTTTTCTTCTTGATAGACGAGTGCTTTGAGGTGTTTTTTACCTTGACATGTTTAGACTGCTGTCTTCCCACGTGTCTTATCAGCTGTTGATTATACAGGTGTGGTCGTCCACATACAAACATAGCTTTTCCAAGTCAGACAACAAAATCATGTCGACATTTTACTACTTTAAATTTACATTTCTTGTTAAAAGTCTTGTGTATTTGTACTATAACAACAAGACAGTGACTCATCCATCTTGGTGTTTGTATCAAGTGTAAAAAAACCAAAAACAATTACTGTTTGCGTTTTAGTTTGTTTGTCTTTGGACTGTTCATTTTGTATGTTGCTTGTTTTAATCAGCAACATCACGTGACTCTTGGAAGACTGCAGGAAGACAGCAGTCGAAATATGTCAAGGTAAAAAACACCTTAAAGCCCTCATCTATCGAGATGAAAAAAACATAAATAAATCATCAGGTATCACTCTGAGTTAGGCTATTTAACATTGAATCACACAGCACAAACAAGAACATCATCGTGAAGCATAAAATCTGTCATGCCAAGGCTTTACCACATGTTCCCAGCAGTAACACATGAAATGCAAGTGTACAATGGTGAGGGAAAATGAACTACTGTTCCTCTGCAAAACAGTACAGTTCTGGTTAAAAGGATTATTATAAAAAATTTTAATATAAAAACTGTTTTTAAATGTTTTACAACACAATGATCTTTATAAACAATTTTTTAAAACTCCTTTCATTGTTTTTGTTTCGTTTTGTTTTTAGTATTTCTGTTTTGTTTTGTTTTGTTTTGTTTTGAGCCAATGATAGTGTAGTGAGGACTTGTGGGGGATGGTCTCATCTCCCTGTGGACACTCAGTGGAAGGGTTCCCCGCATTTTTGAGAACTGATGATTGATAACTCTCACCTGTGTTAGAGGGTGGAGAGGGGCACGCCAAATAAAAGTCTGCATTAAATGGGTGGCAGCGCACGAGAGAACTGAACTGCTTTGTTTGGAGCTGGGCAGACCAGGCGAGATAAGCTTAATAATTTTCACATTTAATGTTTATAGATTGTTGTATTCAGAGCACTTTGTCTTTGTTTGTATGCCATGTATTTTAAATAGCTTTTAGTACTCGGACATCTTGCCAGGGGCTCATGTGGTGACGCCGGGAGTCAAGGGGGGCCCTCTGCCTCCCCCTATTGGCCAAATTGGTTTCGACTGACCTACGGTATCGAGTGGTCCTTGTTTGCTGTGCACATTCCTGTATGACGTTAAGCTACAGTGTTCCATTAAATTGCAGGGTAGTACTGCTGTGCGTAGAGTTCTTTTCTAGTTGTATTGTTGTATTTTTTTGTACCATATGTGCCTCTCTGTGTTAAAGTCCTTCTGCCTCTGACACCGGACCAGAACGGATTATCAAAGGTGGTGGCGACTTTACTACTTAAAAAAAACAAAAAAAACAAAACAAAAACTAGTTACTTAAATGTATTACAATAGGAACTTTAATGTTGTCGCCGACTGGACATCTTAGCCAACGGACCCCACCTGTATTTGTGTGCTATCTCAGTCTGATTGTGCACTACAAGATCTCATCCATGGCAAAAATTGGAGAGTCAAAAGGGATAGCTGGTTAGCAATAGGAAGAATTAAAAGGAAAGAGTTGAGACAGATGATTAAACGACAAGTGACCTCTCCCCCGTCAAACAAAAGAAAAAGTTGACGCACCTTTTTGAGTGAGGTTTTTTCTGGACACAAAGTTTGAACTGGCACAATGCTTCAGTGATTTTTGGGTGGTTGGCTACATTGTTACCTGGCTGATATTTTCACTTAAATTGACTTAACCTCAGCCTCCAGGGAACAGCAGTGAACATGTTCAATGTCCAGAATAAAATGGAAGCGACCATTAGAAAACTGAAGCTGTGGGTTTAGGGAGTCGGTCAATCAAATTATGACTCGTTTGAAAATAAACCCATTCACCAGACACAGTGACAAAGGCCCTCGCAGCCCTGAGCACTAAAGAGCAAGACAGTCTTGTGGAGCTCTCCTGCAACACTGCATTGAAACTGGTTTTCTCAGAAGTACCTGACAAACTTCTGGCTTTATGTTGCTTCTGAGTATCCCAATCTTTCCGACAGAGCTGTGAGATTTCAAATGCCTTTCCTGACAAAATACCTCTGAGACTGGATTTTCTGTGCTTGTGGCATTAAAAACTAAATATAGAAATAAACTGAATATGGAGCCAGATCTTCGACTGAGACTGTCATCCATTGGGCCAGACATCAAGAAATTTGGTGGCTGCTATGCAACATCAGCCATCTCATTAGGTGAGTCAACATATTGTTGGCCTATTGTTGAACTGATCTGCTGCAGCTCTATAAGTAAGAGTGCAATGTTTTAATTTTGTTTTGTTGCTTTACTTATTTAAATATTTTTCTTCTGGTTATGCCTACAAACTGAATTTACAGTATAATCACACTGTCTGAGGGTTATCAATTTGATTTAAAAAAAAAAAAAAAAAAAAAAAAAAAAAGTAATTTTTCATGGATCAGCTGTGGATATGTGTCGGGGATCGAAGCCCCTGTATGAGCCAGCAGTGGATGTTGCGTATAGCACAAAAGCGCAAACACATACTGGCTTTCTATGCAGGGAGTGGGAGGGAAATCCACTGGAAATGGACTGCTGTTTTGAAAACCATGCCGTCTTCATATTGTTGGCAGATTGGTTTATAAAAAAGCCACAAGTAAGACTGCAATGTTTTAATATTTCTTTGCAGTAATGGCTGTTGCTTGTATTTACGTTTCGTCTGGCTATGCCGGTGCCGAATTTGCAATGTAGACCTACATTGGTTTTATGTTAGTTTATAGGCCTATCAATCTATTTCTCATTTGATGAATAATACTGTTTTGTAATTCGTAATAATTTATATGTTAATTAGCCCATTGCAGATGGTCCTTTTTAATGTAGTGCTGATGGACAGCTCCTTGAAAATTCTGTAATACTGAAAGTATTGCAACGTTTCAGATGCTGTGTTAGTGACTGGAGGTTCCGGCATGTTTCCCCTGCTTTCTGCGGCATGTTTGCCCATTATTACAATGACAAGTGCTCTGTGAACCCATTATTTGGCCTCCTATTGTTATGGAGTTGGATGATTTTTGACATTTTCAAGTGGGCCGTGAGTTGGAAAAGGTTGGGAAACCCTGCTATAGACAAAGTACTGACACAGCTTATTGCTATTGTTTTTGTTTTATTATTACTATTGTCTTCACACAATTTCCCCAAATACTTTTCACCAAATTATTTTACAATTCATGCTGGATGTACTGTAATTAGATATTTAAGACACTCCTATTATTTTTCTTCTTCTTCTTCTTCTTCTTCTTATTATTATTATTATGACCTTTTTAGATATCAAACCTGGTTTGAAATTAACTGGTGCCCTGACTTAAAAAAAAAAAAAAAATATATATATATATATATATATGGTAGTAGTTCACACGGATAAAGAGGACACTCAAAACAGTCAAATGATGATTAAACTGAACTAAGTAAAACTAATTAAGGTTCAGTGTTTGCTGTGATGCTTTTCTAGCTTAAGGAGGTTTGATGTTTTCTAAGTGTTTTCTTGCAAAGGCAGCAAAATTTTCTAAAAAATTATATCTAAAGGAAAAGAAGAAAGGAAGATGTTGGTCATTTACATCAAGAAATATGAAAAATAAATACATAGGTATTTCAGTTGCAGAACCGTACAGCATAGCAGCTAATGGTATATGAAGTGTTGACAAGGTATACTGTATTAACCATGTTGCTGTAACTGTCTGTGTGTGCTATTTATTTTGTATGTTAGTATGTATCCTAGAATATGGTCAGTAAAGTGCACAGTGTGATTTTCTTTAAAAATTCACTCAAAACAAATGACTGACAGGACACCTTCACATGAACAAGCCTGCAACAAGCAAGGAGGCTTCACACTGGGACACACAGTGGCCTTGCAGTAGCAGCACAGCAGATTCAAAGAGGTTACAACCAAAACAATTTGGCACAAAATGTTTACATCAAAAATTTAAAATTATAACTGAGCTGCTTTCAAAAACAGCTCCTAATAATATTTTAGATTCTCAAACTGTTGACATTTTATTTTAACGGTCTTTCAAAAAAGCTTAGAGGACAATAGATTTTGAGGAATAAATTTAAAAATTAAGCATTATGAGAAATTCTTTGTTTTCTAAGCTATATAATCATCTGATCAATATTCAAATACTGCACATCTACTGTATGTTCACAACTTGCAATCTTTGTTAGGACTAGAGGGAGCTAATTACAGCACAACAAACATCGCAACACGTGAAAGTTTCCAATCACCTTTTCCCTTTTCTTTATTCAGTTAAATAATGATTTCATGTGCAGTGTGTATCATCATAAACTAACAAAGCTGTATTCAAACATTTATTCAAAAACTGCTGTTAAATCACATTAGTTAAGCAATGTCATCATGATTTTAACATATAAAACTGTGGCTTTCTGCCAGTTGTGAGGAACATTAAAGGACCAGTGTGTAGGATTTAGGGGTATCTATTGGCAGAAATAGTACATAATATTCATTATTGTGTTTTCATTAGTTTATAATCACCTGAAACTAAGAGTCATTGTGGTTTTACTTCAAATCTACAAAGGGAGCCCAGAACGGTTAAACCAAACACGAGCTCTAGAGGGGGGCCTTTCACATTCTTAAGTTACCTGATGGCCACTGTTCTCCTACATGTTTGGACAGGGAGGATTGAGGGAGGGTGTCTCAGTTGGTTGCAATCTATTACTTCACCACTATATGCCATAAATCCTACACACTGGTCCTTACTTTAAGCATGAGAATGTAGTGATTTTGAATGCAGCTCTGATGCTAGAGCAAGGCACCCTTGCTAGGAAAGAGTAAGGCAGGTGTGTATGTGTGATAAATGACTACTTACATTGATCTCAGTGATGGCAATGTCAACCACGCTACCCACAACAATTAAGGCATCAAACGTGTTCCATGCATCAGCAAAATAGTTCTGCAAGCACAGGCAACAAAAACACAGAAAAGAAGAGAGAGACAACAGAGCAATAAAGAAAAGGAAGAAGAGGTAAGAAAAGCAAAGAAGGAGGAGAACATCAAAATGTTGTGGTTTGATATAACAGAGTGAGGTTGAAAGTCAAATCCTTCCTGCCAGTGAGTCTGTGAGTCTATAACTTGCTTGATTTACAAGAATATTCCTTTGTAAACGTAGCTAGTCTACATGATAAATTAACCCTCTGTCATTCACTTTCTGTTTCAAAATATTTTTTTTCCTCACGGTTATAGAGGCAGGCTGAAAGAAATGGCCACCACAGACGTAAAACTAAAGAATTTCATAAGACCTAATCGTTATGGAGCAGTGGCTTAATGTTATGCACATGTTAACATTTCACACTGTACAGTTGTAGACACAGGTTGGTTGTAGAAATTTTCTAGCCCATCAGTGCACATACTGTATGTATGTGGTGCTGATCAACCATCCAACCAAGTCCACAACAGATTCAGCAGACTTCATGAGCAAAAACTGGATGAGGGCTTAAATAAAAAAAAGTTCAGTTCAACTTCAGTAAATCAAAGACAGGAAGGAAGAAAAGGAGGGAAGATGGAAAGAGAAGAAAGACGAGAGTGGCAGCAGCAGTGGGAGAGCAGGAAGAAGGAATGACAGTTGTACATACTGATGTCTTTCTACCTGGCTGAGTATGATGTCGACTACACTGCCAATCACCACCAGGGCATCGAAGACATTCCAGGCGTCCCCGACATAGCCCTGAATATGGCAGCATGTACAGCCAGCAGGAGGAGGGTGGGGTGGGGTGGGGTGGTGGGGTGGGGGTAAAGGAAAGTATAAGAGGTAGAGAGGTTGCGGTGAAAGGAGTAATGAAGGGTGAGGATAAGGAGAAGATGGCAGAAGCATCACAGCCAGTGGAAGCAGAGGGGAGGTGACAGGGATAGGAGTGTATGAGGTCTGGGTTCAAAGGGAAAGGGGGGTGCTTTCAAATAAAAATTCAACCATGAATCTTTTTAGGAAAAAAAATGTTAAGGGAAATCTAAAGGTAAAAGTCTGAGGAAGAGGATTTAAGGAACCATATGGGGAGTTTTACATATTTATGCCTGTAGCTTGCTTAGATTTTGCAAATACTACAGTAGCTGCAGGGGAGGAGAGGAGAGAGGAGGAGCAGATACTTACTCTGGGTTTGAAGGCGATGAGCTTGAGGATCATTTCCACAGTGAAAACTCCAGTGAAGACCATGTTGAGAATGTCCATAGCACAGTTAAACAGATGAGACTGACCATGGTGCTGGACAAGGACAGGCAGACAGACAAACAAAATGATGTAGATCTTTCAAGTGAAAAAATACAATGTTGGTGGTTACATTTTGATGGGTATTGAGAAAAACGAGAGCAAATTGTATTCAGATTATGAGGCATGGATGATGACAATTTTTACTGCATGCAGCATAGAGAAAATTCAAACTAAACCATCCTTTACATTCCTAGACATATGAATTAATCATTGTCAGGGTCTGATAATTGGATAAATTTGACACTTATATACCATTAAATGACCAATGTAGATGCACTAACTAGTTTATGTCAATTTCACCCGAAGGACCTAACGGAGAACACTTACCTGTATAGCCAGACACAAGGTGTTGAGGATGATTAGGACAAACATGACGTACTCAAAACCAGTGGAGTTGACCACATACCAGAATTTGTACTGGTAGGGGTTTTTGGGGATGTAGCGCCGCAGAGGACGAGCTTTAAGAGCATACTCCACACACTGACGCTGCAGTGGTTGAGAGGAGAGGTGGGGACAAACAGAAACAGACAAACAGACTTATGTACAATTACAACAGATCATTTTATGTAAAAGATGCAGTCACTGTTTAGACAGTACATTAGGTACCACTGTACAATAAGACTACCCTTAAAAATGATTTATAAATGGTTTATAATTAGGTTATTAGTTTAGTTTTTAACACTATAAATCATAAATAAACAATTATAAGTTAACAAGTTAAAACACAGTTTTCATATGTTGATGCAGGCTCACTATTTGGCAAGATCAAATTAATGCTTACTAGTCATTAATCTAACTAATGAGTTACTGCCATTTACAACTGGTAAAAGGAGCCTTGTAGTAACTCATTAATAAATGATGATTTGTTTTACACTTTACAATAAAACTCCCTTTTATCAGTTATAAATGTTTGTAACTACCTGCAATGCTAAAGTCCTAAACAAGATACCAACCAGCAAAAAAACATTTGCATTTTAATATCCACTGTGCAGAGCAATCTGATAGCATGAATGCACAAGTGATTGTGAATCAATTTCACCTGCTTTGGTGCAAATGAAAGTGACAACAGGTGCAATGGAGAGGCAAAAGCAAGACAACCCTCCTAAAAGGGAATGATTTTGCATGTGGTGGCCACAGAGAATTGCTCTCTCCTGATCTTTCCTGACTGATTCTTCTCTAGTTTTGTGTTTTGCAAGTGTCCTTGGCACTTTCTAGTAGCATGAGGCGGTACCTGCAGCCCAATCAGGTTGCACAGGTAGTCCACCTCCTCCAGTATGGCACATCCATACAAGCGGTCGCAAGAAGGTTTGCTGTGTCTCTGTCAGAAACAGACTCCATGAGGGTGGCATGAGGGCCCGTCATCCTCTAGTGGTACCTGTGCTCACAGCCCAGCACCGCGCAGCTCGATTGGAATTTGCCAGAGAACACCAGAATTGGCAAGTCCACCATTGGTGTCCCGTTCTCTTCACAGATGAGACGCTGGTGAATGTTATGCTGCCTGTAACATCGTCCAGCATGACCAGTTTGGCAGTGGGTCAATGATGGTCTGGGGAGGCATATCCTTGGAAGGTTGCTCAGACCTCCATGTCATAGCCAACGGTACCCTGACTGCTGTTAGGTACCAGGATGAAATCCTCAGAGTGATTAGACCTTACGTTGGTGCAGTGGGCCCTGGGTTCCTCCTGGTGCAGGACAATTCCCAGCCTCATGTGGTGAGAGTGTGTAGGCACTTCCTGGATGATGAAGGCATTGATGCTATTGACTGGCACTCACATTCCCCTGACCTAAATCCAATTGAGCAGCTATGGGACATTATGTATCGGTGCATCCGACAAGGCCAAGTACCGCCACAGACTGTCCAAGAGCTCACTGATGCCCTGATCCAGGTCTGGGAGGAGATCCCCCAGGACACCATCCACCGACTCACCAGGAGCATGCCCAGACGTTGTCAGGAGTGCATACAGGCACACGGGGGTCATACACACTACTGAGTCACATTGAGTTGCTGTGATTAAATTCACGAAAGTCAGATTAGCCTATGATTTCAATTCTTCATTTTTATTTTCAGTGTGATTGTGAATCCAGACCTTAATGGGTTGATGATTTTGGTTTCCATTGACCGTTGTTACATAATTTTGTTCTCAACAAATCATACAATGTACATCAGTAGAGATTTTCAACTTGAATAAGTCTTTCATCAGGATCCGATGTGTGATACATACATTATGTCTTCATGTTTTCTGATGGCATATGAATTATGGCATTTCAGTAGGAAGAGACGGTTACTTTTAGTATATTTATTCAATAGATCACAAAGACACACACATAAATGCACACACACTCTGAGACCCTCCTACCTGGTTCTTGTCCAGTTCGCAGTTCTTATACTCCTTCTCCCCCTGCTCCTGGAAGGTGACAATGACGAAACCAACAAAGATGTTCATCATGAAGAAGGCGATGATGATGATGTAGATGATGAAGAAGATGGAGATCTCGATGCGGTAGTTGTAGATGGGACCCATGTTCTCTCTGTTGGAATCGATGGCTTTATACAACAAGCTGCAGAGACACACAAAAAGTAAAATAATCAACTCCAACCATGCACATTTGGTTTGTTTAATGATAATAAATACGGTGCTTAAAGCCTTATACATCCACAAACACAAATGCTGCAAGTGCACATTCGTACACACAAAATAGTCAAATTAAAGATATATTAGACTTGAAGACAACTGGCCACATCTCTATACTTTTGGTTTTCATTTTCTTTCAGAGATAGATGGACAGTGAAAAATGACCGAACATTAAATAAATCCAGAGTCTCACTGTTATTCTCCGCAATGATAAACAAATCTGAGTTATACCTCAGACACAGAGCAGTACTTACGTGGGCCATCCTTCGAAGGTGGAGACAGTAAAGAGAGCCATCATGGCCATGAGGACGTTGTCAAAGTTGAAGTCACTGTTGTACCAGATCCTCTCCCTCACCATGGGCAGTGCTGTGTCCCCGTTGTTGTAGAGAATGTATGTACCCCTGTGAGTTAAAGACAAAATTTTAACCACATATACATTCAAGCACACACATCTGGAAACCTTGAAGAATGAAACACACTCACTTGCACTCCTCTGGGCTGTTCTTTGCATCATCTGTGCATCGATAAAATTTCCCCTTTATTAAAAAACAAAAGAGAAAGTCAAAGGTTCACATAGTTTAACTTAGTTTAAGGCCTTCTTCCTCTACTTCTATACAACTATTTGGTGTTTTACAGTAGAAGAATCAGTTGATTTGGTGAACCAGACGAGAGGTCAGTTAACCATCAGGTGTGACCCCATTATCCTCTATCATTCTTTTCCTCTTTCCATCTCTTCACTGTACCTTGAAGAGCTGCACACCGATACAAGCGAACATGAACTGCAGCAGGGTGGTGACAATCATGATGTTACCGATGGTCCTGATGGCCACAAACACACACTGGACCACGTGCTGAAAAGGACACACAGTATCATAATTTTAAGAGAAATACACACCAGTGCAACACAACCAAAGGTGTATGCATGCACAACTTTACTCAGCGACGCATTCACATGGTAAACCACACACAACACACGAATGGAGATACACCCTGTATCATGTCATATTTTTATTATTCTGACCTTGAGTCCTTTGGCTCTGTTGATGGCCCTGAGTGGGCGGAGGACTCTCAAAACACGCAGAATCTTGACCACGGAGATAGCAGAGGACCTATGGAAAAACCAAGACACACCATTGGATTCAACATGGAATAAAAAGCTAATGCAGTTTTATAGTGTAAGAATTATTTGGTGTTGTGTATCTGGTAAGTTTCTTTTGTCATCTAGCATTATACATACTGGTTTTATATTGAAACACAGCGCCAATGTTAAACGTGATAAGTGCTCATCACAGCACATGCTGAGGTTCAGTTATTGGACTTTTTCTCTACACAGTGACTGTCTGGAATCCCTAACTCATGGCAAGGAAACTATAGAGCATATTTCCGTTATATAAAACATTAAACTACTTCTTTATAACCTGCTACCAGCAGAGCAAAGATCAATGTTTATATATTATCACAAAAATCAAAATAATGTACACAAAAGAAGAACTCCTGCCTTTAAAGTTTACCAGATATGGAGTTAAACATCCCATACCGGCTGAGCTGAAGAAGCTGTACTGTGGATGCAGAGCCGGGGCTAAACTAAAGGCTAGGAGATGGAGATATAAGCCTTTTCTACCATCGATCCTCATGGGAAATGTCAACTCCCTGGCTAACAAGTGTGATGAACTGGAGGCACTTGTGAAGAACCAGCGAGCATTTTGTGAGTGTAGTCTCATGTGTTTCAAGGAGACCTGATTAAACGACAACACTCCTGACCATCATGTGGATTTAACCGGCTTCACTGCAGTACAAGTGGACAGAGATAACAGAGCAAGTGGAAAGAATAAAGGTGGACGACTGGTTCTGCTTGTGAACAATAGATAGTGCAACCCCGGTCACATCAGAGTGAAGGAGAAGATCTGCTGTCGGGATATTGAACTGTTGGCAGTTGGTCTTAGACCGTACTATGTACCAAGGGAGTTCTCACACATTGTCGCCATTGTTGTTTACATTCAACCACGAGCAGAGCCTGCAGTCACATGTGATGTCATTCACGAGAGTGTTGAGTCTACAGTTGAGAGTACAGACCCAGAACCCTGATGCATTCATCGGGGGATTTTAACCATGTCACTCTCACCTCGCTTCACTCAGTATGTTGACTGTCCCACAAGGGAAAATAACACACTTGATCTGTTGTATGCAAATGTCAAGGAGGCCTACACTGCTTCAGCTCTACCACCACTTGGCAGATCAGATCATAATCTGGTTTCTTCAGCCTTCTTACAAGCCCTGTGTACTGAGGCAGGCTTTAACCACACGCTCATTCAGGAACTGGACCCCGGAGGCCAGTGAGTCTCTAAAAGACTGTTTTGAGTGCACAGATTGGAATGTCCTGTGGAGTCACAGGAAAATGAAAAAAGCAAGGACCCTGACCTTGATAGAATGGTTGAATGTACCACTGACTACATTAACTTCTGTATGGACTCTGTAATACCAGCAAGGACTGTACACTGCTTTCCAAACAACAAACCCTGGATCACCATTAACATCAAGACCCTCCTCAACCAGAAAAAGAAGGCCTTCAGGGATGGAGACACGGAGAAGCCCTCACATCACACATCATGAAGACCCTGGAGAGGCTGCCACTCCACCTTCTGAGGCCACAGGTTTAACATGCACTAGACCCCCTACAGTTCGCCTACAAAGAACATATTGAAGTGGATGATGCCATCCTTTACATGCTCCACCAGGCCTATTCTTACTTGGATGAGCCAGGTAGTTAAATGAGATTATGTTCTTTGATTTCTCAAGTGCATTTAACACCATCCAACCCCCAATTCTTAATGACAAACTGGAAGGGATGGGGGTGGATCCCTGCTTCACATCCTAGATTGTGGATTACTTGACAAGACAGGTCAGGCTGGGTAACTGTGTCTCAGGGACAGCGATGAGCAGAACTGGGGCTCCACAGGGGACTGTTCTGGCTCCGTTCCTGTTCACCCTGCATACGGCCGACTTTATATACAACTCTTAGTCCTGCCACATCCAGAAATACTCAGATGACACAGCTATTGTGGTGCGTATCAGGAATGGGTAGGAAGAGGAGTACAGGGATCTGATGATGGCCTGACAAGAACTGCCTCCTTCTGAACACCTCCAAGATCAAGGTGATGGTCATGGACTTTCAGAGGTCTAGGCCCACCCTTCAGCCAGTCAACATTCGAGGGAAGGACATTGAGGTGGTGCATACTTATAAATACCTAGGTGAGCACCTGGACAGTAAACTGGACTGGTCCCTGAACATGGATGCCATCTACCTGAAGGGGCAGAGCCGGCTCTTTTTCCTCAGGAAGCTCAGGTCCTTTGATGTCTGCAGTGAAATGCTGCACATGTTTTATCAGTCAGTGGTGGCCAGTGTACTCTTTTATGCTGCAGTTTGCTGGGGCAGCAGCATGTTCAACATGAACACAAAGAGACTGGACAAGCTGGTAAAAAAGGCTGGGTCTGTGCTTGGCAGGAGTCTGGACTCACTTACGACTGTTGTGGAGAGACACATGCAATGTAAGATGGAGGCCATCTTGGACAATACCAACAATTCTTTCCACAACATTCTGGCAGGACAGTGAAGCAGCTACAGCAGCAAACGTCTCATCTCACTGCGCTGCAGAACAGAGAGGTTCAGGAGATCCTTTGTTCCCACTGCCATCAGGCTATACAACACTTCAGCCAAAGGAAGTGGACTAATCTAATTATTGTTGTTTATTTATTATCAACTGTTATTATTATTATTATTATTATTATTATTATCAACAATGAGCTAATGGACACATGAATTTCCCCTAGGGGATATCTATCTATCTATCTATCTATCTATCTATCTATCTATCTATCTATCTATCTATCTATCTATCTATCTATCTATCTATCTATCTATCTATCTATCTACTTCTTTATAACCTGCTACCAGCAGAGCAAAGACCAATGTTTATATATTATCACAAAAATCAAACACAGCTACTCAATGGTACATACAGACAAGACATAAAAAAACCTGAATGATACGTACTGAATGCCGAAGGACACCAGAGACACACCAACGACTAGCAGGTCTAATAGGTTGAAGTAGTTTCTACAGAACGCCCCTTTATGAAGGAACGCTCCAAATGCTGTCATCTGGACAGATGGACAGAGGAGACACAGAGTCAGGACTTAAATAGACAGACCTGCCTACAAACATGTATATTCATATAGGGGCACAACTTAAAGTGAGGCTGAGATGGGATTTAAATTATAATAACTGTTTAGATGATCTATTACTAAAAACATTTAACAGTATTAATTTTTATAAGGACATTCTGTGTGTGTACCAAAACTGTAGTTTCATAATTTATTCTTGGATATCCTCATACATTAACATTAAGTTTGCATTTCAAACACGAGTGTTCATGACAACAGTTCACAATGTAATTTGATTTGCAGTCGCACACTTGACGGTCCTGCACTGAAATGAAGCTATAATGTTGTGATACTTTGAGCAGGCACACTTTCAGTATCTCAACAGAATGTTATTATTCTAATGTTATGTAAGCACCTAAAGTTTCAAGTAATATTTGTACTATGTTTGGTTCAATGTTTTAAAAAATTCTAAACAAAATCTAAATTGATAAGGTAAGACTGGATTCACACTCACAAATGCTACATCAAAAACACTTTGAAAGACTTTGAATACTGCTTTAGACTAGACACACACACACGCACACATAAACAGATTTTAAACAATGCAAAATCTTCAGACAGGGCAAGTCAAAAGCCACTACATCTCATTTGACATTAAGCTAGGAACTAACTCACTCACTCACTCACTCACTCACTCACTCACTCACTCACTCACTCACTCACTCACTAAAAACACTTCCCATGAAACAGAGATTATACTCTTCTCCTGATGGAATTTTTGTCTTTAACCATAACACATGAGATTTACTTTGTGCAGGCATGCAGCGAGCAAAGGGGTAAGGCAGAGGATTGAATTTTAACAGTAAGAATCATAAAAATTGTTCCTGATGTTTGTGGATTTCATCAAGCAAATTTTTTGGAAGTGCATTACCCGAAACACATTTAAATATAAGAAAAGGGTCACATCTGTCTACAGTCAGGCAGTGGGATATTAAGATTGATGTTAGTTCAAGTTCATCTCTCCACAGTTCAGAATATTTAAAATTTAACAAATTTTATTATTTTATTTAAATAAAAAATATTAGTTGTTCACAATTTGGTAATCTCAATGTTTTTAAAAAGATTAAAATTTTCAAAAAATTATAATAGTTGGGAAAAGTTTCCAAAATGCCACCAGGAAGTTGAGAAAAAAAAGAACTTAAATATTCAGGAACAGCTAAACAAGTAGTTTTACTCTGGAGAGCCAATGGGCCATAAGATGGTCTCGGATGAAGAGGGGGAAGTGGGCTGTGATGGAAAACTGACTGACAGACCAAAAAAAAAAAAATCTGACAAAAACATATGAGCTCCACATTAACAGATTGATCGCCATGACAACTTTGATCAAAAATTATAGAGACAAAAATGAGGGGAGGGAAGATATGTGCAGCAAGCTTGGAAGTGGTGGGTTGTTGCTGAGGCAGCACAACAGTTTTTATGGTTTACCTTAATAAGGATCTCAAATGTAAACATACTAGTGAAGACATAGTCTGCATAGCCTAGGATCTGAGGAGGCAATCAGAGTGACATAAGCACGCAGGGTTACTGAAGCTCTACCCAGCACAGCACAGCACAGCACAGCACGCAGAGGACATTTACCTTCAACAGGATCTCAACAGTAAAGATTGCGGTGAAAGCATAGTCAAAATAACCAAGTATCTGCAAGAGGCAATGCACAAGTTCAAGTCATTCCAGGATAACAGGATAACATATCAAATACTTTTAGCAGTAGAGGCAGTGAAAGTCAGACACAGATGAAACATAAAGTAGTATATCAAAGCTGTACTAGGTCAGATTTGAATGTAAAATAGTGTAAACTCACACACCAGCCCTGCTTTCAAACATTGAGCAGAGTTGTTTGTAAACAGCAGTGGCAGGTTTTCTCTGAACAAAGAATGTGTGAATGAAAAATTTATATGGCAAAACTTTAATTCACAGAATGCTAGACCCACCAAAGTTACATTTTGTGCCTACAGTTAAAGGATTTTTCCGTAGCAGGGGAGGGAGCCGCACCAAGCCATGTGTTTTTCCACTGCACTGCAAAGCATTGTAAGGATGTATACCTTGATGGTGTGATTGAAGTGTGCTAGTCACAAACCACACTAGGAGTCTGTCACCTGCAGCCCTTTTCAGTTCACTGTGTGTGTTTCTATTCCTCCCTACAATATTTAAAATTCTACTGACCAAAGAGTGGATCAGCTGAATATATCCGTATCTGGCTGATTAGACCTGTTTTTATTGAAGAATATAGCACTAATGAAGCTCCACTAACTGAGTGACAAACGAGCATTGCATTCCCTATAAAGTCCACACACAGCTCCAACATGGCTGAAAGTGATCAGCAAACTGTAAAATGTCCTAAAGGACAAACAGGAAAACATGAGTGAAACTAAACCAAACCAAAAAGACTCAGAAACTATGAACATACTGAAAGCTGAACACACAGAGACTTAACTACCAGCTTTCCCTCTAATCTCTAACACAGACACACACAAGTTCATTGGCTGAGGACACAGCTAGGAGGGAGGAGGAGACATCACAGATTGGCTGTTGTTGACCCTCCTATCACACAGGACCACAGCAGCATGGCTCTGTGGGGCTATCCCCTGCTGTGAGGCTGTATTGGAAACACGTCATCATGGCTTGGCTTGGCACAGCATGGCTAAAGCACATGTAGTGCGTCTGTTGTGAACCGTTACATAATTTCTGAATGTCATTCCTGAAATAACCAGTTGGGCCTTCTAACATTTGAAATTGCCTAGTGCAGCTTGTTTTGGTTTGTAGACATGTCAGCACACATCATAATAAAACATTATAATAATGTTAAGGTTATGTATTATGAAACTATGCTTGATAGCAGTTGTAGAAAGAGGATTGTTTCTGAGGCAGTAGGCTACTGTGTGGCAGTGATACAATTTGGTAAGTAGGAAGCAAAAAATGTTCCGACTGTTGTGGCTTTAAGAAAAATACTCACCAAAACACGTCACACATTAATATACAGTATGTAACTTCCCAGCTTGAAAATGCTGCCCATGTACTTTGTTTTTCTATGTGTGTCATTTGCCAAACAGTGATTTCCAAAGGCCTTTTTCACTGCAGATATTTTTACTTGTCAAGGCACAGGTGATATTAAAAACATTAAGAATGGCTTTGTTTTATTCAAATGTCACAGTGAGCCGAGATAGTGGCTCATTCACTCCTCCCTACTCACTATCTGGGGAGTTCTATGTAGAGGACTATACTGTGAGAGTAATATGAAAAAACACTTTTGGACACTACTCGTCATTTCATTTTCTCTGCGCTGGTTTTCTTTCTTTCAGTGTGAGCACAATGCATTATGGTGTATACAGTATTGCTTGTTTAGTGACCATTAGTTGTACACAACATGAATGCACAACACCAGGACCCTGAAAATAAAGCAGCCATATTGAATTCATTCATCATTAATATTATTACTTACACCCGTGCCTTTCCTACTGTGATATGTCAGTGAGACAAATAAACATTCAAAACATGATGTATAGAATAAGGTGACCAGATATCTGAAATGAAAACTGGGGACATTTCCAGTTCGGTGGTCAATATATGTTTTTACCTATGAAATAAAGAAGGGGGACAGTCATGTATTTTGACCATGGTAACTGTTGTATTGTAATAAACTATCGTGAAGGCCAACTAATAAAATGACGACTCTCTCCATGAAGCAGTTTGTTTGAATTATGGTTGTTTTTTCTAGTTTACTGCCTGGTTATGAACTCCTAACACATGAGTGAGCCTTTTCTCTGCCTAGAAACAACCACAAAAAAAGGAAAATCTGATTGGATAACTCTATTTTAATGGTTTTAGCTTCACTTCTGAAGCTGCTATAACTAGCAGCCAGCCCCCTCTATTGGCCAAAACAAGTGCAAGACCTGACTGTTTTTAATTACAAACGTTAAAACCGGGACACTTCCAGGGACAGTCCTCGTTTTTGGTGGCCTGTTCCAGAAGAAAGGGACATCTGGTCACCCTAGTGTAGACGTGTAAGTGGGTAGCATTTCAAGACATTTAAAGACCACAGTTCCAGTGGTTGTTTACATACAATATTGCGAGCAGAGAAGTTGCGTATGGGGTCCTCAGCAGCCAGAGAGACCGAGCTGAGCATGATGAAGACCAGGATGAGGTTGGTAAAGATCTGATGGTTGATCAGCTTATGGCAGAATACACGAAACCTAGAGGGAAAGAGGAAAAGAGGGTGATATGGAAACAGAAAGAAAAAGTGAGCAGTCAGTATGTACAGTGAGTTGACAGCAAATCTGGGGTAGTGACACAGCTTGCAAATTTTCTGCTAATTTGCTATAATTGGTTTTAGAGGTTTTTGTTTTCTGTCATACTGAACAGGTTTACTGAAATATTCCTGTGCCTTGGTATCGATCCTACCGAACCTGCACAAGACTCACAGGTTAGTGCTGCTGAAGATGAAGAAGGCGCTGCCCTCTGGGATTGGCGGAGTCTTTTCTTTGATGCTGAGTTCAGACAGCCTCTGGGGGCGGGGCCCAGAGGGGACTTCTGGGAGGTCATCATTATCGTCATCATCACACACTAAACATAAAGAGTTATTTGTCTTGTTTGTGTTTATATAACTGATGCTTATGACTTTTAAATACTGCTCTTACAGTTTTTCTGAATTACAAAAACACTAAATTCCATTGTCTGAGCCAAAACCTCAGTGGCCTGAACCCATTTATTGAATCAATCACTCTTTTGGTAAAACTATAAATAATTTTCACCTTGTTAGACACAAGTTGCAAAACTCTAAACACATTTTCACTCACTAAAACACAGATTTTTCTCATTGTTCAAACTTATAGTTGAATACAAAAAAAAAACTGGTTGTGGTGGCAATGGATGCATTGCGGACCCTAGTTTGAGCACTGCTCAGTTACAGCTCCTCTTTCTAAAAATGAATGACTTTTACCTGGGGAGTCAATGGCAGGATACAACTCTTTGTCTTCCTCTAGCAAGGCCTTTGCTGGCACCTACACACAGGGATCAGGTTTAAAAGTACTGGAATGAAAACTAAATCAATGGTGCACTTTCAGACAGGCGGTCACAGTTTGACAATGTATACATACAATATACATAAAATCATACAAATTGCATGAAGATATTATGAAGAAAACTAGAGCTACTCTGTCTTTTACCTTGGTCTCACCATCCTTGGATTCTGTTATTTCAACTCTCCTCTTTTCTGTGCTTGTATCCCTGTGTGGGACAGATAAAAGAAAACAAGTAACTAACAAGGTAGAGGGTGACTTTTTTCTGCCATAGGAAAGTGCTTGTGACAAATGTGTATGACAAATAATTAAACAGAAAATATGAACAAAAATTTATGTGAAATATTGAGGTGTCGTCAGCTGTACTTGGCGCTGTTCTTCCTCTTCTTTGCCTCTTCTTCCTCCTTCTGTGCTGTGTTGAGGCTCTCTGCATCTGCCAGGTTGTCAACAGCAATAGCCAAGAAGACATTTAGCAGGATGTCTGGTCATGTGACTTCAGGAAAAAACACTGACCAACATGATGAAATCTAATCTCTGTGAATGTAACTGGCTCAATATCAAAACAAAACTTTTGATAATAATTTTCAATGATATTGCATGAGCGCATGTGTGTGTGTGTGTGTGGCCAGTAGGATACAATTTCCACAGATGAAAAGGATGATGAAGTAAATGCAGACCACCATTCCAGAGGAGGAGGGACCACCATATGCCATGATACCATCGTACATCACTGTATTCCAGTCTTCTCCTGTCAAGATCTGGCAAATATCAGATACGGTCACTTTAATCATTTATCCTAAGACTGACTTGAAATAAATATTTAACAAAATATGACAATTTACAACATTAAGAGTGGAATTAAAAGATGTTAGATTGATGAGCTCATCTAAGGGACTTTTTGAAATTATGTGTTTCTATTGTTATTGCACAAATTAGCAGTGCGAAAAATACAACAGGTATGGTGCTGTGTGTTCATGTTGTGATGCTGTGCACCATCCACACAATAATATGATTTCCTGAAGAAGCTTCTCTGTGATTGCCACAGCTTCTTCAGAGCAATGAGACTCTGTGACTGGCTGAAAGTGAATTTTTTGCGCCTCTGTACCTACATGAACCAAAATAGTGGGTGTGCTTGGAGACACGCACATAGTCCATGCACCCATGACCTACTGCTTTGCACTAGTTGTTACACTTGAGCGATTAAAATAGGGCCCAATAATTTCTTGGTGAGATGGCGAGATGTCTGACTTTAAAACCTCCCTGCATACACTGTTCAGTAAACACATTTAGAGTTAGCAGATATATTTTTATAATAAAGTCTTTAAAGAAATACTAGAAGATTTGAAAATACAGTAGATTTCATTTTGACAATGCCAAAATGTCATAATTTTCCCAAAACTGTAACACTGTGATTGTTATCACAGTGTATATTGAGTTATTTCAAACTTTCTTTGTGATCGTATGTTATACATCCTGCAAATCTTATCTGAATGTTCTGAATAAGACAAATATTCACCTGGAACACAGTGAGCAGGGCCTGAGGGAAGTTATCAAACGTGCTCCTCTTGGTCACAGTCTCATCGAAGTTGAACTTGCCCCCAAACAGCTGCATGCCAAGCAGGGAGAAAATAATGATGAAGAGGAAGAGCAGCAGCAACAGGGAGGCGATAGACTTCATGGAGTTGAGCAGAGAGGCCACCAGGTTACTAAGAGATGCCCAATGACTGGAGAAGAAAAAAATATAAAAAAAAGTTAACAGAAGAACAGACATACAGAATGCTCAACAATTCCAGAAAGAAAAAAGGTAAAAACTCACATTATAAACAGGACTTAAACTTCTGTAGTTGTTGTTTTTTGAAAATGATTTATGCTCCTTTAATATGACAACAGCAGATCACAACAGTAATGAGATGTAAGCTGTAATTATATGAATGGACCCTGTCACCTCCAAAGCTACAGCACAGTCTGGCTGCAAACTTAACACCCTGTCAATGAGTTTACATATATTTAATGTTGTTTATTGCACAGGTTTGGATAGTATTGAAAAGTGAAAATTGAATGTTTTTTCCATTTTTATTCAAAAGAAACAAAAATAGAGGAAGAGATATTTTTATGGCCTGCACTTTATTGTAATACCCTCCTGAATTGTGTAATAAATATTTTACTCAAAAGAAAAAAAGAATAAGGCCTGATGCATTTAGGTCATCTCTGTTGCATCCAGATGACACACACACACAACTCATTTACTCACCGTGTAACTTTGAAGATCCTAAGGAGGCGTACACAGCGGAAAACAGAAATGCCCAAAGGAGACATGATGGCCAGCTCCACCAGGATGGTCTCTACGATGCCTCCACACACCACGAAACAGTCAAAGCGGTTAAACAGGGACACAAAGTAGGCCTGCAGTCCCAAACTGTACATCTTCACCAGCATCTCCATGGTAAACATTGCAAGGAGAACTTTGTTGGCTACGTCTGAAGAGGAGAGGAGAGGAGAGGAGAGGAGAGGAAGGGGCTTTAGAAACAAACTGTTCATAATATTATCAAACATCTCATATTTTAACAAACTATGACCTGACCTAAATCAGGTGATAGTTAGGTCATAGTTAAAGGTAAATTGTAATTTGACAATCAGATAGAGCACAACAGAACAAAGAACGTTACCCTGATAGCAGTTGTAGAAAGAGGATTGTTTCTGAGGCAGTAGGCTACTGTGTGGCAGTGATACAATTTGGTAAGTAGGAAGCAAAAAATGTTCCGACTGTTGTGGCTTTAAGAAAAATACTCACCAAAACACGTCACACATTAATATACAGTATGTAACTTCCCAGCTTGAAAATGCTGCCCATGTACTTTGTTTTTCTATGTGTGTCATTTGCCAATATGACATTTTCCAAAGGCCTTTTTCACTGCAGATATTTTTACTTGTCAAGGCACAGGTGATATTAAAAACATTAAGAATGGCTTTGTTTTATTCAAATGTCACAGTGAGCCGAGATAGTGGCTCATTCACTCCTCCCTACTCACTATCTGGGGAGTTCTATGTAGAGGACTATACTGTGAGAGTAATATGAAAAAACACTTTTGGACACTACTCGTCATTTCATTTTCTCTGCGCTGGTTTTCTTTCTTTCAGTGTGAGCACAATGCATTATGGTGTATACAGTATTGCTTGTTTAGTGACCATTAGTTGTACACAACATGAATGCACAACACCAGGACCCTGAAAATAAAGCAGCCATATTGAATTCATCCATCATAGATAGAGCACAACAGAACAAAGAACGTTACCCTGCACTTCAGTCAGCCAGTCTGGCTGGTTGTAGTGCTCAGAGGCGATGGTGAGAGTGTTGAGGAACACCAAGACAATGACCAGCCAGTAAAACGTCACTGATTTTACAGCTGCACGACACTTCCTCCGGCAAAACCGGTTCCACCGCCGCCACTGACGACTGACAGACAAACAATTCCACTTTAGGATGGATGGTCAAGATATGTACAGCCATGTTCAGAAGAGTTTAGCTCCAAAATGAGACATAATAAGCCCAAACTAAATAAATAAATAAATATTTCCTTTAGATGTAGTGAAAAATTTACTGAATTTAAAATGTTTTGGAATTAACTCTTCTGACTCCAGTGATATATATTTTTATTATAAAGTTTTATTTCTTACATATGCCATTTAACGGGGGGAAATAGAATGATAGAACAACATCACTATGAATCAACAACTAATTAGACAAAAATGGATAACAAAGAAAACTGAAGGTACATTTTAGGTACAAAGAGAGAAAAAAACACAATGATGGGAGTGTGGTGAGACCAGGATAAAGTAACTGGTTAGTCAAAAATAAAATATGACACGCAGCGGATTAACCGGGAAAAAATAAAATGGACATAAACACAGATGAAAACATTAGGGAGCAATTAAAATATGAGTCATAAATCAGCTATGCAAGCTCAGCTGAATCAAATAAATGTATGGAGAACACATCTACCATGCAGTGCCATGCCAAGGTACTAACCTGCACTTTGATTTAGTAATTTTTTGACTGTGGAGAATGAAACATGAAGCAACTTTTAATAAAGGGCAACAACGTGTAATGCTGCACTTTGTGTTTGAGTTACATATTTGATTTGTACAAATCTTGTGTCTTTTGACTCATTTATCTGATGAACCCCAGTATTAGTACAGTATTAGCTCATTATAATTTGACTGAGAGGATCAACCATCCGACTGTTGTGTGTAATGTGTCACACTCACCACAGCGGTCCACAGCAGGGTGATTTATCTTCCTCTCCATTGTGATTCTCTGTGTTCACCGACTCTGTCTCACTAGTGGGCATGCTTGCTATGGTATCACGCACACACGCATGTGCGCACACACACACACACACACACACACACACACACACACACACACACACACACCAAAAAAAGTAAGTTAACAAACAAGTGGACAAACTTTATACCTAAAGGAAACACATTTCACATTGTTCAAGTCACATGATGATAGATTGTCCTATTGACACACATGCATATTTGGTTTGGCTTGGTTCAAGGGTGATGAAATATGTTTTAAGTGAAATGTTTTTTTGTTTGTTTTTAATTGAGAGCACTGCCAGAACCAATTCTCTAATTTATGTAAAATAAAACATTTGACTCAAAGTTGTACAAGGAAGACTCAACTGCAAAATCAACAAAACCAGTTCTTGTGAGACATCACTCCACAATAAACTCATATCTTTAGATCTTAGCTATTGAAGCTATTGATTGTAAGTATGATGTCTCCAATTTGATCCTTTCTGTTTGTCACCTGGTTTATAGGCCCAAGCCAAACCACCATAAAAGAAAAACATAAACTAAAAATGTGAAAAATTCAGGTGTCAGGTAAAAAAGTTTAACAGAAATGAAAAGCAAACTCTAGTCAGATTTTTAATTCCAAAAATATTTTGGTTCTCAAAGACAGAGACTGACAATGTCCAATGCAACTGGATCTTGGATGTTCAGTTGCAGAACAGTTGTGAAACCAGCCGTTCTGTTTTGTGAACACTGCATAATGATGAATTTTGATGTTTCTGCATAAATCAAGTCATGGTGAGTACATGCTGCCAAACCTGAGTCAAATTAGATTTTGCACATAATTCATCATTTTTTTTAAAACCAATAATCAAATTGAAACCTATCAGAATACAAATATTGTTACTCAGATTAAATAGTTTAATTGTAACCAGTATCCAGTGATTGTCAAATCTTGTCAGGACTGATAAATATTTGATCAAATTATTTGGTCAAGGTCTGTGTGCTGCAATAGGTTTTATTTACATAGTGACAGGGTAACAACATACAGTATATTGGAAATCATATATACTGTACATGCATAATAAATGTCTTTGTAAGTGGCAAATGAAAGGAATTCAAAATGATGATGAGTGGATGGGGGATCTGAACAACAAACACTGTGACAGTTCTGTTTAATTTCCACCCATGATACAGTAAATTAAAATATAACATAAATGTCATACTGACCATGACTTTCTGTTGAAAGTGTATATACTTACTAAAACATGCATTGGTTTACAAAACAACTCATTTTATGCTGTATCTTTAAACTCTCTGAAGGTGCTACATGTATCATTAATATGATAAACATTGAACCATGTTCAAGATTAATGGCAATCTCTCTTATGTTGTTGGTATTATGATTAATAGTGTTATTCTTTCCAAAACCAAAAGCAACATATCCCTAAACTCAGTCGCTTCCTCTTACAAAGAAGATGCTGCTCAGTAATATCCTCCTGAGGTGACATTTGCCTCAAGGAGAATTTTTCCTTTTCCGTTCATCTGTTCTACAGGACAAAGTGTTGATTTATTTCACTACAGAGTCAGGCTTTGTTTTATTGGTAGTAGTGCAATGCAATGAAATGATTTTCTTGTAGTGAGGATGGTAAGGATCAGATCACTTTAACAAAGGGGCATGCAAATACAAAAGCACAAACAAAAGCATAAGCAAAGCACATGCATGCAGAGACACGTTCCGGGACAAAGATGAACTGTACTCATGTGCACACTTCCAGACACTTGCACACACTCAAACACATTTACCCTGTGTCTCTGTGGACTGAGTGAACCAGCCAAACTTCCCTTTCTTCTTCTCAGTGAGGTCAGCCAATGTGACCCCTTGGTGTTACCAACATGCAGTTCATACAGCCAGACAGCAGAGGAAGCAGTGAGTCAGTACAGGGCAGAACAAAAGAAAGGAATGTACAACAAGAGACAGCTTCAGTACATACAACTGAAACAGCTACCATTTCCAGAAGATACTAAACAAGTGTATAGGACATACAGTAATAACGTCTTTCTCTAACTGGCTAACTACATTGTCCTACTTAAATAAAACTCATTTGTCATATTTGCTTCTAGCTTTAAGGTGACTGGCAAGTAACAGGAAATAGAAAGAGGCTTTGAGATGTTACAGTAAGGGAACTAGTTTTTAAGGATTCACAGTAATTTTTTGCACAAAGTAAATCAGTCACTTAATAAAAAGAGGGTGATGAACTTAACTTTCACCTGCTAAAAACGGTAGTAGTATGTAAAAGACAACTGTTTTTGATAATATATCTTAAAATTCATTGCATATATATAGCAGTATTGGTGTTTATGTGAGCAGATAAATCACAAGAAAATTGCAGTAAGGAAATGCCAAGGATGTGTCTGAGGTATTTTTGAAACACTGTCCTCATTACATTGTCTTTTAAAGTGCATGATGTATCTACTAAGTAGGACATTTTACTGTAGACAGAGACAAAAGACAAAATTCTCAACAATATCGAACGCTGTCTCCTTGAATTTATGTTTCTATACAACTAAACTACATCAGAAAATACGTTTTGTAGGAAACATAATTGTGATGATTATGTTTTCTGTTAACATAAAAAGGATATATTGTTAATTGTCTATTTGGCAAGTTGCAAATATGTTGATACTGATACATATCTGTAAAATTAGGGCAGACAACATATTTGCTTTTATTCAAAATTTCTGATCTTGCAGTATATTATTCGCTTGTAGTGACACTACAGCATTATTAAACTTTTTATGGTTATGTTTAGGCTCTCCCAGCAATTGGTTAAGGTTAGGAAAAGATCCTGGTCTGTTGTAATACAGAAAAACTTCACAGTGACTTCATGGTGTACATGTATAGCCAAAACCAAGATCTTGCTCTAAACTTAACCAAAGCGCTTTTGTTGCCGAAACAAAACAACAGACAGGACTCTGGATGTAAACCCTGGTCACTGGTGTGGTCTCATTCGCTTTGTATGTCCCCCATCCATCATAACCACCTCTTGGCGCCTCAGCAGCCATTCATAAATGTAGCACTTAATTCATTCAAAAAATACATTTCAGCTGGGGGGCTCCCTGGTGGCTCATCTGGTAGAGCATGTACAACATAGGCTCAGTCCTAACCGCAGCAGCCATGGGTTTGAATCCGACCCATGGCCCTTTGCTGCATGTCATCCCCTCTCTCTCTCCCCAACCTCCCCAACCTTCCTGTCTCTCCCTCACTCTCTTTCACAATAAAGGCAAAAATGCCCCCCCCCCCAAAAAAAACAAAAAAACAAAACAAAAACAAAAACAAAAACATTCAACATAAAACATTCCAGCTAAACGTAATTGAGCCACCATATATGATTCCGACAAAACACATTTGTCATTGCAGTTTAGTTGTATAAAAATGATAAGGCTACATCACTAGGGCTACAATTTCTGGACAGAGTAACTTTATAATACAATGTTAGACTGGGATGGATTAGTAATAAACAAGACTTCAATAAGAAAACAGAAGGTGGCTGGCAGACAAGAGAAGATTTGAGGAAACAAAAGGAAGAGAAAGGAGGAAGACGGAGAAAAAAACTAGAATTAGCAGCAATCTAAAGATTTTTTTTACAGGGCCCACAGACACTGCAGGATTCAAGGAAAGAAAGTTAGTGTGTTGTTTTTTGGGTGTTTTATCTACAACAATGACAGCAGAAGTCAAAAGCAGGGCAACTACTGGAGGACATAAATATATGCACTGATCGCAATGTGAATGGTTTGAAGGCACTGTAGCAGTGTTATAAAGAGACGTGAGGCTTCCAACAACATCCCCGCAGGCCAGACAGGGGGACTTATTCACACACTTTTGCAATATCTACAGCTCACAACAAGATACACAACACACATTTCTTAAAAGGAGCAGATGGGATTCAAGTGATTTACACCCATATTATCACTGATTCAACATTCATCCTATGTATTCTGTCAAATCTATTTCATTACTATTACAAATAAACTAGACAATGCATTTTCTGGAGAAATTGTGGTGGGATTGCTGCTTCTGCCCATGCTGAAGCTAAACTGCATTACTGGCTGCTGAGAAAAATCTGAAGCTGAGCTTCATTGTTTGAAATGCTATCAACTAACATTTAAAATAGAGCTGCAAGTAAGTCTGCCTGCCTCTTTCTATGTCTCTCTCTGCCTGTTAATTATGTCTGTCTGTCTCTCTGTCTGACTTTCCATCTGTCTGTCCTTCTGCCTGCCTGGCAAAGTGCTTGACTGCCTGACTGTCCATCTGTCTGTTTGTCCATCTACCTGCCTGCCTGCCTGTTTGTCTGTCTTTCTGCACACCAGTCTGTCTCTCTGAAACTGTAGCACCTGGCAAACACCGCTTAAAGGTAATCCACCAATCACGATGAGCTCCAAAAGTAATCCACCAATCAGAATAGATAGATAGATAGATAGATAGATAGATAGATAGATAGATAGATAGATAGATAGATAGATAGTTAATAACTTAAGTTAATAATTAATCAACTATAATAATTAGATTAGTCCACTTCCTTTGGCTGAGGTGTTGTATAGCCTGATGGCAGTGGGAACAAAGGATCTCCTGAACCTCTCTGTTCTGCAGCGCAGTGAGCTGAGATGTTTGCTGCAGCTGTAGCTGCTTCTCTGTCCTGCCAGAATGTTGTGGAGAGGATGGTTGGTATTGTCCAAGATGGCCTCCATCTTACATTGCATGCGTCTCTCCACAACAATCCTGAGTGAGTCCAGACTCACAGACCCAGCCTTTTTGATCCTTCCCTTGAATGTTTACTGGCTAAAGGGTGGGCCTAGACCTCCGAAAGTCCATGACCATCTCCTTGGTCTTGGAGGTGTTCAGAAGGAGGCAGTTCTTGTTGCTCCATTCACTGAAGGCCATTGTCAGATCCCTGTACTCCCTTCTTGTCTGTTCCTGATACACGCCACAATAGCTGTGTCATCCGCATATTTCTGGATGTGGCTTGTCTTATAGACTGGGGGATTTGATGGTGTTAAATGCAATTGAAAAATCAAAAAACATAATCCCCATATAACAACCTGGCTCATCCATGTCAGAATGGGCTTGGTGGAGGACAGCAACATCCATTCCAATATGTTCCTTGTAGGCAAATTGTAGGTTGTCTAGTGCATGTTCAACCTGTGGCTTCAGAAGGTGGAGAAGCAGCCACTCTAGGGTCTTCATGATGTGTGATGTGAGGGCCACTGGTCTGTAGTCATTTATCTCGGTTGCCCTACTGTAGGTACCGGAACAAGACATGATGTTTTCCACAGGGACCCTCCCTGTTTGAAGGAAGTTAAAGATCCTCTGGAGAGGCTCAGCCAGCTGGGCTGCACAGTTCTTTAACAGCCTCGGACACACCACCTGTTGCCTATCCAGGGCGTAGCTGATTGAGCTCCGCCCTCACCTCCTCCGCTGTAAAGGACAGGATACTTGACCCCCGTGTGGAGGGAGTTGCAGCTGCAGTGTCAGGTTGCGGAGGAGATGCCGCAGGAGAAGCTGCAGCTGAAGCAGTGGGAGAAGGAACAGGTGAGGCTGTGTTAAACCTGTTGTAGAACAGGTTGAACTCATTGGCCTTGTCCACATCACCTAATGTCCCCTGGCTGTTCTTCTCTTTATAGCCAGTGATGGTCCTCATCCCCTTCCACACCTCTCTGGTCTTTCCTCTCTACACTCATTTTGTTGTCCTCTTCAGCTCATGTTGCCCACACGAACATGTGTGATTTTGCATGTGCCTCCTTGTCATTGTGTATGTGGGTATTTTACAACAGCTCTTTGGTGCAGGAAGATTGTGTCACACCGAAGAGACATATGTATCATTCACATCCACAATCAATACTGGATACTGGTGCACGCAGAAGAAACCCGAGCAGACACCGGCGAAGATGCAAACTCCACACACATACACACACACACACACACACACACACACACGCACACATACACACACATTGACCTTCTCGTTGTGCGATAACAGTGCAAATCACTGAGAAAAGAATAAGCAAAGGATAAGCCAAAGGCAGATCTTTTTAGGACACAACTTTCTTTGCATGTTAAATCGTGTTCCTCCAGGAATATACAGTATAAGTATAATTGTTCCCCTGGCCCACAGTTAGTATCATACTGTAAGTGAGGTACAGTACCGGTATACACTTCTTCTGCAGTAGTAAGGCTACAGCCAAGACAACAGAAACAGTCAGCAACATCAGCTTAATCCTGGCTGCATTAAGCAAATATGATTCAAATTATATTGGTACATTGTATTTACATAGCACACTGCTAAACCTGCTAAACCACTCCATATCTTCAGCTTCAGCCATCGCTTTGTTAATAATAAAAGAGCTAATAATACACCCTCTGAGTAGAGCCTCATCTTCATGACAGACTGGAGGCTACAGTGAATCATTACAAAAAAGTAACAAGGCGAGCTGATATGGGCTAAATGGTTAGCAGAACTTCAGTAGAAGAAAAGACATGATGTAAACAAGAGTTAAAAGGGGTGTGCAAAAGATTCATAAATTCCAAAAAATCAATTCATATTTTTCAGTCTTGTAACAGTGCTGGTTCACATTTTTTCCTGATATGAGTTTAACTCGCCAATCTTATAGATTGCGCCGTGTTGGATTCTGCCCAGGACTTCCTCCGTGGCGTGAGTGAGAATAAAGTGCAGTGTGAGCAATGGAAAACTTAAAGGAAAAAGTAAAACACACCTACAAGTGAAAAGGTTTTACACATACTACTGAAACCCTCTCACACAAACAACTGAAAAAGTATGTGCTCACATACACAATTGAAAACTAGTGAAACCTTTTACATACAC